AGGGTTAGTTCGACTCTTCCTCCTATACTATTAGCTACTATTGCCGGTCTCATAATCTCTTCGTAGAATTCGGGGTCTTTTATCAAAGCCTTTAGGTTGCGATATCTCTTAACGCCTTATTCGAGTTCTTAAGGTAACTAGTAGTAGAATTCTTCCTTTTTAAAGGCTAATGCTACGTTTTTCGAGATTTTCTTACTATCTATTTCGACGTAGACGCTATTACCGATTAAATAGTCTTTAAAGAATCGTAGGATTAGGGGAGGTACGTTCTAAAAGTCTTCTTCTAACTAGTCAGCGAAATCGGGAGAAACTTCGTTCTATAGCTTAAGGCTTATAAGATTCCTCTTCTTATAGGTCTTAAGTAGGAAACCTATATAGGAACCTAGTTGCTATAGGCTAGCGTTTATAAGGTCGATTGCCTAGTTACCTTATACTGCTAGATCGATTATACTTTCGATTCTCTATAAGATAGGGACTATTAATTAGCTTTTAGTAGTAACGCTGCTCGTAGGCAATCCTTCTTATAAATTTTGCTTTATTCTAATAGTATAAAAGGATTACTTCTATTTAGAATCTTAAATTCTAATCCTTAATAGCGTTAGCTACGATTAGTATAAGATATAAGCTTAGAAGTAGGAGTTAAAAGACGATTCGGGATATTACGATTCTAAAGGGAAAGAATCGTAAAATCGGGGATTTTCGTCGGTTCGTCGTTTATTTCCGTTAACGCTATTCTTACTAATATTCTCGAGGGGTATAAAGGTATATATAGGTTTCGAATTAGTAAGGAGAAAGTTCTACCGTAGATTCTTTCGTAAATCTCTCTTTCTTACTTCGGGCTTCGCTTCTTACTATTAGGAAGTTTAGAATCTAATAGATAGTTAGCTTTATAACGCTTATAACTACGTACGTTTCTCCTAAGCTATAGCCTCGGAGGCGTATACGTATAGCTGTATAGGCGGATTACCGCTAGTAGTCTCCGCTCGCCTTTCAGCGTGTTCTTTTTCTAGTAGGGAGGTCTTTTATAGCAGGCGCCTCGCGGTTAGCACCTCGTCTAGGGATTTATTAAGAAACTAGCAGGCGCCTCGTGATTAGCACCGCGCGTAGGGGATAGTTATAGTTAGGGAAGTTATTATCCCTTGTAGGATTCGTGAATCTTCGCCTTTATAACGTGAAGAGGTTAGAAGACCGTCGATTCGGTAGGTCTCTTCTTCTAGTAATTAAAAACGCGTGATGGAACGCTCTTGCTAGCGATAATTAGCTACGATTAACCTTATCCCGCCTAGGGTAAGCATAGCAGTCCCTAGGTTACTTAAATAATCGGATTGCTAGTAGATTCGAGGAAAAGAAGCTTTCTTCTACTAGTTTCCGTAGATCCTAGTTACTCTCGCTTCTTCTCTCGTTAGTACGAAATCCCTACTTTTACCTAGGCTTAGGTATCTAGTTTAAGAAGTCGTCTCTTCTAGTATTAACCTTGCTGATCTGCGGTTTGTCTATAGCAGAGTAGTAATTATAAAGTTAACTAAATTAATAGCAACTGTAAGGTTTACTACTGATCAGTATAGGTTTCATAGGGGGTGAAACGGAATTCCGTTCGTTAATAACAAATAACAGTAAATTGGTTCTAATCGATGGTTCATGATAGTTGAAAGTAGTGTTGTTGACTAGAAGGTAGGGATATTCCCCCTTGGCCTGTCACGTGGGTCTGGGAGGCTTGGGCCTCTCAGCCTGGCGGGCGTGTGGCTGGAAGTGCCACACGACTCCGTATTCCAACTATCGCAACAGTAACACAGATTTTTCAAGCAACAGCATCGTTTTTGCGACGAAATGCAAATTTAAAAACTAGGCTGGGCCCGAGAATGCAGTCGTTTGATAATCCTCAAGTCCACAGAGAATGTCAGCATTTCTTCAATAATGTAGGAACTGTCTAGTTGTAAAGTTGTGTTGCCAGAAAGAGCTGGGTACTAAGGATTGTATAACGTACTGTATGGTTACAATTTGATTTCTCAAAATAGAAGAAAGATGACACGATTACAAAGTATGTTCTGTGAGGGCAGATATTAATGTCACTGTAGGGCGATGACAACCCAAGAAGCTGACACACCTATCTAATGAGGACTTCCGTGGTTAATTTCATTTGCCGAAAATCACGGATGAGACGCTATTCTACTCGATCACATATGCCAGACCAGAACAGTGTAGGCATTTAAGCGTTACAAGCAAGCAATGAACGAGCGTTCATACCTGGAGTATGAATGCTAAGAACCTATCTAGGTAGGTAGTCAAGATGATAGTCAGTACGAAGCACAATTATGGAATCATGGTATTTGTTTCAATTTCCCTGCCTTTTTTTTTTCTTCTAAAATCTATGCAACCTGGCTCTGCTAATTAACATTCCATCCTGATGTTTTGTTGGTACATATTGTCGTTCTCTTCAGCTGAAATCGAAAGATAGAAACCATTGCTCCCATTCCATCTCTTCCAAAGAAACAAACGAAAATATCAACACGCTCAGATATCTATTATGTACTATTGCTCTCTGAGGTAAGACCAATTAAAGGACAGTTGAGTTTGAATCATCTAGCTACGTGGAGTTATTCGGTTGCTCATCTTCTACCAGCCTCTGTGTTGTCGGCAACAAGGCAATTTTCCCGTCGGTCAAAACGAGGTAACGCCGACCATTCATGTACAACCCTTGCGACCATCAAACCTGCTTTCTACAGTGTTTTCGGCGACTCTTGGGTTGAATACGTACTAACCCACGGATCAAGTTTCCGAAAGAACAGTTAAGCAAATTATTTGAGACCCTACGCCGCTCAATATGCCACTTACACCACGGATGAAGCGACCGAGGCGCCACCATCCGGCCGGGCTCGGTGACGAATCTCAAGCGCCGAGAAGTCGGCCTCACAACAACATCGCCCGGATAATACGGTAAGAATGAATGGTTGAGTTCTTGCACCTTGCAGTTGAGACTCAAAAAGCCTTATAAGCCAGCAATGATTTTTACTTTGATGTCCCAGAACACACACATCTCAAGAAAATAGACCTCGTCATCAAAACAGCAGTTCTATTGGAAACCATGGCACCACAAACCAATGGGGTTACAGAGTCTCTGTACTTTCCACCTATAGATAATCCAGCAGCGAGAGACGTATCGTACTACACTCCCGCCCAAGAACCTGTCTCCGGCACTGCGATCAGCACAACAACAGGAGCCCCTATCCCCAAGCTTTTCACGCCCCTTACTGTCCGAGGCCTTACCTTCCAAAACCGACTTTTCCTGGCGCCGCTTTGCCAGTACTCTGCCAAAGATGGATATGCAACGGACTGGCATCTAACGCATCTGGGTGGGATCATTCAACGTGGTCCTGGGCTTGCCATTATGGAGTCGACAGCCGTTCAGAGAGAAGGACGCATCACTCCCCAGGACATTGGGTTATGGGAAGACGGCCAGATTGAGCCTCTGCGACGTATTATCGAGTTCGCTCATAGCCAGGGACAGAAAATTGGTATTCAACTTAGCCACGCAGGGCGAAAATCTAGCACCGTGGCACCGTTCTTGCACATGAACGCTACAGCGAGTACAGATGTTGGTGGCTGGCCCAACGAGGTATATGCTCCTTCGGTCTTGCGGTTCAACGACGCCTACCCGCAGCCCAAGGCAATGACGCTGGTCCAAATCCAGCAGTTCAAGACAGCGTTTGTGGACGCGGCAAAGAGGGCAGTTAAGGCTGGCTTCGATGTGGTCGAGATTCACGCTGCTCATGGATATCTCATCCACCAATTCCTGAGTCCTATCAGCAACCAACGCACGGATGATTATGGTGGAAGTTGGGAGAACCGCACGAGGCTGGTTCTTGAGATTACAGATCTGGTACGGGCTGCAATCCCTGAAGAAATGCCTCTGTTTGTGCGGATTAGTGCCACAGACTGGTTCGATAACATGAAGGAGGAATTTCCAGAGAGCTGGACGGTCGCCGACTCTTGCAAACTGGCTCCTATCTTGGCTGAGAAAGGTGTTGATTTTCTCGATGTCAGTTCTGGAGGCATCCACCCGCTTCAGTCTACAAGCATCAAATCTGGACCCGGATACCAAGCGCCTTTCGCGAAGGAGATCAAGAAGGCAGTTGGAGATAAGATGACTGTGTCCGCTGTAGGTGGCATCAGCACTGGAGCGATGGCAGAAGGTTTTCTTCAGACTGGTCTTGACGTGATCATGTGTGGTCGATGGTTTCAGAAGAACCCGGGCTTGGTATACGCCTACGCCGACGAGCTAGGGGTGAATGTCAAAATGGCAAACCAAATCGGATGGGGATTTGGTGGCCGCGGAAAGGGAAGAAAATGAAGTATATAGACGACATGATAGGAAGCTCAACATGAGAACAATCTTTTTTCTTTTAAGTGTTCGTACCAAATGGGGCTTACTGTTCGTAACAATTGGTCTAGCCGACAACCCATCTTGGTTCATACGCCATCCAGATACCATAAGTGACAATGCCAGGAAAATTCGTCACAAGGCGAGAAAAATCCAGCGAGGCTTTCAGCCGAGCCTCCAAACTACTTGCCCAGCTATCAATCACTCTCATCTGTTTGTGTCACAATTTAAGCTTAACAGAACGATGAAACAAGTCTCTCTGCAACCAGTTTCCTCATCGCTTCACAAATGCCCATCAGATTCTTCATTGGTGTTGTTTTGACTACAATTAAAGAGTTGTAATGGTGTCTTATCTAACCTTTCTCACAAAAGTTTACTTGTAAACCATCAGAAGCGAGGATCAGAAATCTGAATCGGTTATAGGCTCTTTGACTAACACATTTTAGTCTTGAACAACGTCTCTCTCGATGCGCAGCTTGTCAGTGTACTGTCACACGTCTATCAGCGAAATTGAGCTTTCAGAACACTCATAACAGATCGCTCAAGTGTGTTGTCGAAGGCAGTTACTTCTAAAGAATCTCATGATCCAAAGGGCAAATGCTATTTCGTAACCTTGACACCATATCCTGTCTGTATCCAGGCCTCGCTAGTCAAACATGTTTGTTAGACCGCATCAGCTTTGGTGTTTTTCTTTTGCTTTTCTGTTCGTATTTTTATATTTGAAAAAAAAAAAAAAAGAACAATAAATAGTGAGGAAAAAATAAGAAAACAAATGAAAGACAGTCTTGTACTTTCTTTAATGAGATTGTGTACCTTCTTCGTGTCGAATCTCTAGCTCAGTCATCGCCCCTGCATGGATGCACATCCTGCTCTCGGTTACGTATGCAGTACATATCCTTGTTGAAAAATATCGAGGGTTTCAATGGACCGCTTCAGTGCGGATGCAACGGCTTAAATCCGCGACGCAACTAGCCATACGTATCAAATAGCCTGACGTTGGAACGACAATTGCATAAAATCCCCTTCCTAACGCGGATTAGCTTATTATCCCGAAGAAATTGTCACCAATTACGGATACTAAGTTCCCGCGAGGTGTTTCCCCAATCTCGCAACGGGATCATCTTCCAACCATTTACTGCACTCTGATACGTCAAGGGGCCTGTGTTTTGTGGGAATGTTTTCAACGGTCCCTGCTCTGTAAGGTGCCTTCGCCGCAACCATGCATTATTATGATTGCCTCAAGCCAAGGTGAGGGGTAACGTCGCAGGACAATCAAGGATCTCGAGAGGTTATAAGAGGTTCTGCCCTCCCATGTCAGCATAGTCGCTTTCTCCGCATGCTAGCGGTGTGTTGTTCAAAAGGGATCTGTACCTGACGATATCCGCACCGGGACAATCAAAATCGTATAATCGTCGGATTGTAATTATGTCTGAGGTAAAAACGGACGCCAACGGGGCATCCGCCTCTCCAATCACAACCAATCCGGCTGCTGGGGCAGCTGGAACCCAAACCGCACAGGCTAACTCGACGCCGGCAATTATCGAGGTTGAGGTTGTCCCTGAAGAGGTAATGAACAGCTAGACCGAGAGAAAGTAATGGATATCAATTTTAATGATTGCCTACATACAACAGCGCGACACGGACAATGACTCACTAGACACCGGAGTAAGTAATGCGCATTTTACACAGCAAATTATGTTTGGTGAAACATCTTATCTGACACTGATGCTCTGAAGAGTCTTGTGGCTTCTAGTACCAGCAGTATTCACAGCTCTGTCCTCCAGTATCGACTTGAGAATGGGCGAACTTATCATTCATATAAAGAAGGAAGTAAGCTTATGTGCCAGCCAAGTTTGTCTTAAGCAGGCCTTAACCTACCCAGAATACACCTTGCCCAACGATGAGCGGGAGAACGAGCGACTTGGTATGTACTGATCATCAGTGATCTGCTGTAAGTTCTGCGTCTCAGCGACTAATCATGCCGTTCGGACAGACATCCAGCATAACATGTTCATTGTAACGTTTGATGGCTCTCTGGGAACCGCTCCGCCAAATGACCCAGACGCTAAGGTTGGACGAGTTCTTGATGTTGGCACTGGAACTGGCATTTGGGCCCTCGACTTCGGCGAGGAACACCCCGATGCTGAGGTAATTATAATACTACTTGCCAAAATTTTTTAATCGTAATTTCTAACAGGATATAACCAGGTAATCGGTGTGGATCTTTCAGCAATCCAACCAAATTGGTAAAACTAATCCAAACTCATGCCCTGCTGGTCTTTATACTAACCTATTATAGCACACTGCCTAACGTGCGGTTCGAAATCGATGATATTGAAGAATCATGGACGTATTCGCGGGGCTTTGACTACATTCACAGTCGGATGATGACTTCTAGCATTAGTAGCTGGAAGGATTATATCAAAAAATGCTACGAGTCAGTACTCCTGTGGTTTTAGTTGACTGCACTAATCATATATTACCATCATACAGCAATCTCAATCCTGGAGGATATCTTGAGATAAACGAAGTCGACCTTATGCCAAGGTCTGATGACGATACGCTAAAGGAAGACTGCGCCCTTTTGAAGTTCAGTCGCCTTTGGGGCGAGGCTGCAGCCAAGTTTGGACGTCCTTTCCTTGAGGACCTCAGCGTGTTGAGGGACGTGATGATGGAAGTCGGCTTCGAAGACGTTCACGCAAAGAAATTCAAGTGGCCATCTAACCCCTGGGCCAGAGACAAGAAATACAAAGAGCTCGGTCTTTGGAATCTAGAGAACTCAGTTGCTCATTTGGATGGTTTCATGATGGCCCCGCTTACGAGAGCTCACAACTGGAGCAAGGAGGAAGTTACGGTCTTCGCCATGGAAGTACGCAAGGAAATGAGCGATAGAACCATCCATTCCTATTCAACTATGTGAGGAAATCTTTATTCTTGTCAACGAAATCTTCTTTACTGACGTTTGTTATAGCTGGTCGATATACGGAAGGAAGCCGTCTGATAGCGAATTGTAAAGCAAGGTAATAGAGCATCTAGAGCTTTGCGGAGAACAACAGGACAGTTTTGGATATGATGTCAAATGTTTGAGGAGCAATTCAAGGGAATCAATTCGAAAGACCAATGTTTATGTTTACTTGTGCTACCTAAACGCATATGCCAGACATGGCTAGGAGCGGGGCAAAACAGAGCAAACCAAACGTCAACAGCAGCTATGACTCCGAGGCAAGATTTACAAGTGTGTTTTACAACACCAGACTCTAACCAGCTTGTGCCACTAGTCGGTTTTGTTCATTGTCTTGCGCAGTAACAATCTATAATAAACCATCGCAGTAATTTTGGCCTATTTCCATAAACCTACTTTGCATTCCAAACGCCCATAGAGACATACTGTAGGCTAGAAAGGACTAGGAACGAATCTTTCATGCGTTCTTCACAAGCCAGGTTGTTTCAGGTGTCTGAAACTTTGCTGTGATACGGTGAATTCCAGGTATTCGACACAGAATCACACTTCATATTACAGACAGGCAACTGTTCATTCATTTTACTCAGAAACCCGGTGGCCCGTTTAGGACCAATCAAAACGCAATTGCTAGGAACATCACATCACTGTCAGCAATCAACCCTACAGGTTTCCTTGGAAGCAATACGCCCAGGTAACGCCATCATGTCTTAGGAAGAAAGGGCTTAGCTGCTCAGCAAACGTATGCATCGGCTTCAAAACTACACAGTACCGTCGATGGATCAAAAACTGTCAATAAGAGGTACATGTAGTTCTATGACGGGCAGGGAAAACTTTAAGTTTGCCTAATATGAGACTTCTGGGTCTGCCTGGAATCTAGGCATGTCTTTCCATGGACGCCCAAGTGATCAATGTCTCGGATTTTTTCTCGTGTTATTGCTATTACCGATTTTGTTTTTCCCCCTTTCCAGAATACCGTAGATGACATCCATTCACCGCAGGACATCTCCCGTACATCACTTACACGATAGACTACGGTATGGCAAAAAGGATGCAGACGTGTATGCATGCTTGGGCCTAGACTTTCTATATCTGCAGCCACCAAGATGTGGCAAGCATGGGCACTGTAAAACACGGCTTGCGCATGGGAATGTGACTGAACGCCTTTCAGCTCTCACCCTGCGAGTGCCCCGGCAGGGATCCCACAAGTGGTATTGACATATGATTCGCAAACGCATGAAGTAGTCGATTACGAGACAGATGCTTGCTTCAGTTAGCTAGCTGTGAGTGTTTTACTGATAGTGTGTGACAGTATGCCCATCACGGCATACAGCAGGTGGTAAGGGGGCTATGCAGGCAATTTGTCACAGAATTTGGCGTCCGTTAAGCCACAATGTGATTCATAACGCCAGAACCGGTACGAGGTCGGGCTCCTTGAGTGTTGCTAAGTATTGCAACAGCCTAATTGGTCTGGTTTTTGCCAGAAAGACGACCATGGCTGCGGCTGAACCGCCTAAGCTGACATGGCTGGCTGGAGACGTCCCCGCATACGGCTGATGAACCGTTCTCCCCGCAGGGTCAGACGTGAGACAAGACCCTTTGCTGAGTAGGGCTGATCTGAGGCTAGATGTGTCATTGCCTGTCATCACTAGAGATGTTCGGTGAGGTATTCAGGGGCCCCGAGGAGATGTTGCACAAAAGTTTCCGTGGGAAACATATAAAATTGGTACTGTCGACCTCTGAAAGTCATGTTTGCAGTTTAAGACTTGGCTCAAATCAGTCACATACAATTATATTGAGAAATCAATCAACTACTCACCTTTGTCAAGATGTCGTCCGATGGAACTAGAGGCCCCATTCTCGTCCGTGGCATCCCCGCCGATGACCCACGTCTGTATTCACCAAATTGATCTAATAATTTCGTAACTGACAGCCAATAGAGAACCCACCTGTACGTCTGGAGGTCCGTGACATGATCAAGGACCATCCAGACCAATGGAACCTCTATCTCCGAGGCCTAGAAAGGTTCAAGAGCGAGGCAGTCCCGGAGCGGATGCCCCTCTCCTACTTTGAGCTTGCCGGTAAGTAGTTGCCGCCAAATCTCCGGCAAACGTTTTAACGCGGTACTTTAGCGATTCATGGACTGCCGTACAAGAAGTGGCCTGACCAGCCATGGAACAACATGGTCAGAGTAGATAACCCATTCGGTGGTTTCTGTACTCACAGCTCGATCTTGTTTCTAACCTGGCACCGCCCCTATCTTGCTGTTTTCGAGGTCAGTCATAGGTTTTGTGATCGCTTTGGGTGCAAGGACTGAAACTTGGACAGGCCGAGCTCTACAAGCACGTCAACTTCGTCGCCAACGCGTTTGCTGAAGACGAACGCAAAGCAGATTATGTTAGGGCAGCCAAGAGCTTCCGCATGCCCTACTGGGACTGGGCGCGACCTGACCTCGGAGTCTTCCCGCCACAGGCCGTCTCCGACGCGACTAACAGAGTCATCAGGCCTAGGAGCCTGCCTGGAAGCGCCGAGATCAACCCCCTAGCATCTTACACCTTTAGGGAATCAAGGTCGATGAGGGACATCAATATCGTACGTCGCTCTCCATGGCCCCCCTCGTCCCTTACTTGACAAATCTTGGTTAACATTGAACTGGTCCTCAGTTTCCCAGAGTCGGGTCAACCGTCCGCTACCCCAACCGGCGCGATGGCGACGGTGATATGAACGCCGCCCTCCTCCGCTTCTTCACCGGCAACGACCGGCGACCCAAGGGCAAGAACCTCACAGAGCGCGTTCAGTTCATCATGCAATCCTACACAGAATATGCCACGGCGTCAAGCAACAGGTTCGACCCGCAGAAACCCAGCAACATCGACTTCCGCGGATGGGGAAGCATCGAAGACATCCACAACGCGGTGCACAACTACGTCGGCGGCAGCGGCCACATGTCGAACCCCGAAATCTCCTCCTTCGACCCCATCTTCTGGCTCCACCACACCAACATCGACCGGCTGTTCGCCATCTGGCAGGCCGTCCACGACAATCCAGGGGACCCCCTGACGTTCGTGACGACCAAGCGTGCCGACACACGATGGGGCAACTTTGTGGTGAAGGCCGGTGATCCTGAGACCATCAACACGCCTCTGGCCCCGTTTGCTCGGGCCGTGACGAATGGCAACCAGGAGTTTTGGACCTCCGCCGGCGTGCGGTATACCGAGACCTTTGGCTACGCCTACCCGGAAACGCAAAAGTCCAAGTTCCCGACCCCTAGAGACGTCATCAACGAGCTCGACCGTCTGTACGGTAGGATGGCCACTTTCGCCAACATCATGAGAAGCAGCCCAGAGGACCTCCAAAACTCGACAGAGGAACTTCAACATCGCGCCAAGAACCACATCAAGGCCGAACGCGGCCAATTCAGCACTCTCGCGGTCACAAACCAAGTGCCGCTGGCAAACACTAACGGCGTCCACTTGCCCGAAGAGCGCGACCTTAAGAAACTGGTCGGGCCGGATAAAAAGTACCTCGAGTGGCTCGTCAACATCAAGGCAGAGAAGGCAGAGCTCGGCGGCAATTACGTAGTCCACGTCTTCCTCGGCAACCCAGACGATAACGCTCCGCTCCTCTACCCGACGAACCATTCCCACGTCGGTGTCTTCGCTACTTTTGGTCAGGATGAGAACACGGCTTGCAGAAACTGCCAGGCGGGACACGCCGCAGGCCAGGAGATCACTGGCCAAATCCCCATTACCCTGGCCTTGGTTGAGCGATACCTCGCTGGCATGGTCGACAGCCTCTCACCCGAGGACGTCACTCCGTACCTCCAGGAGAACCTTCACTGGCGTGTCACGTTGACCAACGGTGAGGTGCAGGATCGGCAGGTCCTGAATAATCTGCTTGTTAGTGTTGTCACAAATGAGGTGAAAGTTCCGGACACCCCGACAGATCTCCCGGAATACTCTCCTGACGTTGTTGTCCGCCCTGATTGTACAACAAACCGCCAAGGTACTGGACGTGGACATGGCACTGGATACTGTGGTCTATAATTTACAAGCACAGCCAACGAAACAGGTTCAAAGACGGTCGATCCTGTTACTCAAAACTATTCATTTACCTGCTTTGATTACAAGTACAATTCCTAACGCCCCATTCCATTTCATTATAATCTGCGTTGTGTAGGTATGCTTCATAAACATTATGAGAAAACATTGTCCATAGTCTGTTCCCCTCATTTTCCCAAATTGCTTGAAGACAAAGAAAAAAGAAAAACCCTTAGACCTCAGTCTCAACGTCCGGCTTGCGGCCATTCAGAGAACCGAGCTTGGTAATCTTCCGCACAGCATACTTGGCCTCGTCCTTAGCGAATTGAACGTTACGCATCGGACGCCACTGCATCAGTCCTCGGTGTTGACGGTGCAGGTCGCGGCTCCTGCTTTTGTAATCCTTGTAAGCCTGAATGGGGCCATTGCTCTGCTTTGAAGCATTTGAAGGCGTCTCACTATTGGTGCTGTTGACGCTGTCCATAGACGGCCGGGTTCCATCACTTCCTTGAGTCGTGCTAGCATCTGTGAGCCCGAGGTCGACATCGCTGCTGTCCTCGTCATCTTCGTTGAACTCGTCACGTTCCTCATCATTGAGGTCGACAGGTTCGCCATCCATGAGTTTCGTGGGGTCTTTTCCGAACGCACCACTCCAATCAGTGCCGTCCTTGGCCATCCATTTTGCCTTCTCCTTGGGGTCTGCTTGAGCGAGAACGTCGCGCCCATGAGTCAAAGATTCATCATGAAGCTTCTGTACAGCGGGAGGAACCTCCGTCTTGACCTCCTCTCCACGTACACCTTCAGCAAAACAAGCTTCCCAGGTCTCAATCGTTTCTCGAGAATCATTGTTAGTAACAAACTTGACGTGGTCCCGGTCAGTGCCGGTAGAGAATCTCCCGCTGAAACGAAGTCGACCAATCTCCTCAATCTTGATGTCGGGGACTGAATTGTAGTTTTCCTCGGTTATGTAGTTCTGTGAAAGGCGCAATCCCTTATCACACCTCCAGATCGGGATATCAAAATCCTTCTCTTCTTGATCAGGGATATCTTGCAACCAAAGGGATGCGAATGCATCGGCATGGCGCTTGCCCGGGGGATAAAACTCGAAGAAAACCGGTGATCGATAACGGTAGCGAACGGGTAGACGAATCTTGTCATGCTTGTTTTCACCACTGATATCCCAAGAGTACCCATTGGTCTCCTCCAACCTGGTGCACGTGTCCCGCTTGACGCTCATTGAGCTGCCGCCAGTCCGAAGACGAATCTTAGTCTTCAAGTGTCCGTAGCCAGTAGAGGAAATGCTCTTGGAAGTGAACTCGAAAGTTCCCACATCCCAACCCAATTGAGGCGGCGGCAGTCGCAACTCAACAGACCTGAACAGAAGTGAAATACGGACCCTTCCATAGCCGATACCGCCGTCGAGAGGGTACCATCGAGTGGCCTCGCTTCCAGTTTGCAATATGTCGGAAAGCTTCAGAGGGACTACGCCAATGATGGGATCATGCTGCCTGTTACGAGAATCGCGGACGGTAATAGTGGTGATACAAGATCTCCAATCGCGGATAAACTTCTCAGTGCCAGCGTTGAAGATGGGCTGCGATGAAACGGCCTTGGTGCGCGTCTTGTAAACAAGTTCATCGTTGACGAGTATGGTGCAATAAGAGCTAGGGAGTTTGCTGCCTTGCTCCTCTTTCACGTCCCCGGCATCGAGACGAGCAGGCTCGTACTCACGCCCCTTGCGCTTGCCGTTAGAACCCTTAACATTGGCCAGCTCCAGTCCGACGATCTGATGGATGACAATGCTGAGGATGCCAGATGGCCAGAGAGGGTCAGGCGGAGTGTGGACGACAGCGTCTTCCTCGGCGTTCTCAATGGTACCCTTTTCATCTTGAAGCTCCTTCTTATCCTTCAGCTCAGGAGGCAGATTGACATCCTTACCATCAGTGCGCAGAGCTTTACGGAACTGGGTCTTGCCAAAGAATCCGACTTCCCAATGCAGCTCACCTGGCATTGTACTGTCAGCCTTTACGCCTGCGAGCTTCGATACTTGGGTAAACATCTTTCCAGGATGCTGAATGAGCTTCTGAATGCTCAATTCGACCTTGCCAACAACATCATCCGCAGAGGAGCGATCGCTGTCCCACAGTTCCACAGACAACTGCTCATCGGCCTTGATTAAATCGGCAGTGACCAGCAGGCCACAGCTCTCTTCGAAGACCGGGTTCAAGTCATCCTGAATAACACGAGTGCAGAACTGGGGTTTGGAGAATTTACTCCAAGCGACGGTAATGTAGGGGTCAGAGCCACCCCCTTCGCTGCCGCGGCGATCTTGCTTGCTAAGACCAACCGCCTTGTGGATTCTAATGAAAAGCAGACCGAGTGCAAGAGTCTCCTTCTTGATATCGTCACCTTGAAGCATCTTGCTCAAGTCAAGAGTCATGCTCTTGGGAGCAACATACTACATCCTGGTTAGCTGATTATCTTGTGAATTATTTAACTAGTCACTTACCATAGAGGCTGCGGCACCAATAGCCCAGTTCACGAAGTTTGAGATGAGTGGCAGGTTAAGAATGTTCACACCCTTCTCAATCATCGGAGTGCAGCCAGCCTGAACCTTTGGAATGCCCATCAAAGTGAAAGTCAAGGTTTTCAAGAACGGAGGCTCAGGGGTCAATTGGAGACGAATTCGGGCTGTAGCAACAAGACCCTGGAGTTCAACCCCTATAAATAGTTAGATGCTGTAGTATTGGCGTGAATAGTTTGACTCACATATGGGAAGTGGGACGCCAAAGAGGCCCCGAACTCCAAGATAGAATACTAGCTGCATTCCCATGTTACGCGCCTTGGAGGAAATATCGGCTCCAGATGGCTTCGCATGGTAAGCTACCGACGCCTCCAAGTTGTAAAACGAACCGGCCTGTTCCATGGCAGCTAACTCGTTTGGGTCGGTGTTCTTCTGGTTTTGCTTATGGGCTTCGTCCTTAATGTCTTGGACGTGAGAGTCTGGCAAAGCACGCAAGCTCAAAATGCGCAGCGGGTTGCTTCCCTGCGATATATCGGCTACGCGTACGTTTTCAATGATACCAGGAACTGATGCCACCATAACATCTTCAAGGGTATCAGCAACACCAGCGAACATTTCGGGGTTAATCAAGTTCCACATGATTCCAAGGGCGGTATTCATCCACTACACGCTGTCAGTATCCCGGTGTGTGTTACGAATCACGTTTTTTCTTACCTCCACCGACTCAGGAACTAGGTTGACAGTGGCAGTCTCACCGCGCTCCTGCTCACTGGCCCATTCTGTGTTTCTTCCCTGGGTGATTAGATCTTTCACCCACAGGAAAACGCCCGACGCAACACAGAAACCAAGTGGAATGAGGCCGTATAGTGCACCGCCGAAAAATTTACCAATGAGGACAATACCAAAGAAGATGCCTGCACATAAAACATTGGCGCGTTGTTCAAGAGACTCGAACATAGGCTCATAGCTAACACTAGGAGTCTTGAAAAAGATAACATTTGTCTTTTCGCTGTGGATTGGTACGTCGGAAGTGCTTCCAGGCTCAACTGGATCGGGTGGTGCTGTTACATCTTGTGCTCGTCTATATTCCTCGCCAGATTGCTTCGAGGACGTGGAAACAGTGGCCTCTTTTCCGAGGTTTTGGTTAGGAACTGAGAGCTTCAAGTTTGATTGTCAGCAAAGCTCGAACCCATATAATAAGATGGAACATGGAATGCATACCTGGGGGTTTTCAACCACCTCTTTGAAATCATCTTTTGCGTCCTCGATCTCGATGTCCTTCCCTGTGACGGGATCTCGCACCGTCTTGGTCTTCTTTCTGTTGTGCTGGGACCTCTTCTCAGGGATGTGGTCCTTCGCTTCTTGTTGACCTTGAACATTGCGGTTTTGTTCACGCTGTTCTTTCCTAATCTGCTTGTCCTCGGCGTCAATGGCAGCATCACGCTCTCGCTTCTCTTTGTCTAGCTGCGCAACAAATTCGTGGATGTTTGGAATTCGATTCCGGCCGCTGTAGTGTTGGCCGCCGGCCGGCATGACGTGCTCATTGACGTTCATCTTGTCGCCATGCACAGGCCTACAACCCTGGCCTGCTTCTTTCAATAAATTAGAGTGGGCTCTCGCACTAAAATTGCTGTTGGCACGCAACTATTTGGCGTATCGACTCGTGTTCGAACGGGACAAGAAGGCAAAAAAAATTGGCAGACGGACAACCGGCAAGGCAATGGGGAACAGCTAAGAAAGAAGAGTGCGGAGGCTACATCTTGGAATTATAGCAGCGAAGGGAAGCCACCAACCCGAACAGGAACCCCTCCAATTGCCTCATAGCTCCTCCCAGCTTTTTCCAAGCTGTGGCAGTTGGTTGGCTGTCCATGACCTGTGGTTCCCTCCTTTCAGCTACAGCTTGCATTCGAGCTGGCATGCCTGGGAAGCTGTGATGGTCAATGACGTAGCGTGTCTTGCGATTCGCTGCCAGAAAACCCACTAACCGCTTGCTCGGCCCCACCCCCAGGTACCCCCAGCACTTGTTAGGAACCTATGACGGAGCAAGTCTCCGGTACTTACCCTGGTCTGGGCGTCTCCATCTTTTTTACTACCTCGTGTGGCCTTCACATGTACTATACCTCACTCATCTTGACTAGACCTTGCCATGGAGCATATGTTCCTACAGTATCTACGACAGGTTCCTAGCACCGAATTCTCGTTAAGGTTTACTTCTTGTGGCTGGAATACCTGAAGCTAAGTGGTCCTGCACTGCAAGTTAATCAAGCGTGGCTGTTAACGAGAGGTGGGCTTTCCTACTACCCGCCTGATTCCTGTTTTTGTTTCAGTCTATTGATGTGCTGTGCAACAACGATGCGACGAGCTGTGGCCGATCTGCGGCAGGGATCGCATCTTGCTTGCGTAAATGGCTGCGGAAAGCCACGGTTCCGGCTATACTCTCATTGGCCTTGAGCAGGCTAAGTCGTCAGCTTCCATATGCTGTCGTGTCTTAGCTTTCTATGATTAGCTTCACCTTCGAATATGTCAGCTTGAAGGGCCCGTTTGCCATGTTGTTGGGCGTGGGTAACTGTCGTTCTAGTTCAATGTTGTAGGCTTGTTGAACAAAATTGTTTTAACAGCACCGAGCATAGCAACAGCCAGCGTGGTGCTCCCCTAATGATCTAACCTGGGCCTTGTTGGTTATCGAGTGAGAGCGATCCAATTGGAGACTTTCCATGCGGCTGATTGGCATGAAGGGTCACGGTACTGAGTGAATGCGTTGATGGGGCCTGCAAAAATATGACCACCCCTTACGCAAGCCAAGGTGGTCCTCGTCAGTCCACTTCCCCATCACGTCCCACTTCCGACATTCGCTTACCTCATCCAGATAGTGACAGGTCAACCTTTGGTCGCCAGTACCATCTTCGAATTTCATCCACATTCCATGTTGGTCCAACCGTTGACGAAAGTCTCCGGTCCCTTGGCGAGACTATATTCTCAGCAGCGGCAGTCAAACATGATGCAGCACGCTCGGCATTCCTTTTCCCTCAAACTAAGGCCAAGACATTATGAGTACACGAATCATCGATGATGGAAAGATCTTTGGGAGGTTGGACGGAGTTTGGTCGTAGCGCGTGTGCTCATTAAAATCCTAACCAAAGGTAACTAGTACATGTATATCATACAACGCCAAACCGCTATTTTCACACTACCAAACTCCAGATTCCTTGTCAATTCAACTATGCCAATCGGAAAAATTAGATCCGGCGCAGATGCCCTTCAGCAGCTAACCACTAAATCGGGAGGAATGGGAGTGTCCCTCCTGCTCCCCGTTTCTGGATTGAAAAGGTCTGCCGAGCCAAGTCGATCATTGCGTGGCGTGGGACGCCTGCATACCGTCGGTGTTGTGAGGTCCATGTCCGTATCCCCGGCTGCTGGCCCTTGGCCGCATGAGACGCTACACGTGTCTGACATCTCCACATCTGCAGCCTCTTCAAATGTCTCGACACTGGGTGTAGGGAGATCACTGCACGGTTGCACTTCAACGGCGGGAGGCATAGCCTTCTGCTCCCTGTCATCGGCGGTCTTCTTTTCTGCCGCCTCAGCCGCCCGCAAAGCCGCTACGGCGCCACCAACATGCTCTGGATCCTCCTCTTGGTTGCCGATCGTCCAGACCCAACGCCGCTTCTTCTCCTTGCGCTTTCGCTTTCTGATGCCACCCGAAGGACTGGCTACTGTAGGGCTGGCCACAACAGGTGAGTTGGCTGCAAGGCCGGCCATCCGCCGACGCATCTCCTCAAACGGACCAGGTGTCATTCCGCCGTCGCGCGTTTCGTTGCCTTCGAAAGCAAGTGCGAGATCCAGGATGGTGTCTTGCTGCTCCTGTGCCGTTGCTGGTGATGAGGGCGATGCATCTTCGATAAGTAAGTCGATGTGGGACTTGGTGTACTTGTTGGTTATGATAGTCTGTTCAATCGGGCTGTTGTAGGCTACTCGGCGAGCTGCCTTCTCTTGCAAGCGCAAGGATTGACGACGTGGGGATATAGGTGTCCGAGCACTCGGAGGTGGAAGCGGCGAGTTGCGGAGGATACTGTGGAGAGATCGAGGGTGGCTATAAGGCAACTTGAGACTAGTCAAAGTAAGGTCGCTTCGTTTACGGAGGGAGCGAGGCGCCGGCTGGTCAATTACCAGAGCCGTCAGCGGGGTCTGGACATCGATTGGCGAAAAACCAAACATCTGAGGACCTTCAACAGGGCCGGCTGACAGCGGAGGTGTCGCCGTCATAGTGCTGGGGAATGTGATCTCCATGGCAACAGAGGGTGATAATGGATGAGCTGTCAACGGCGTTGCAGGATATGAGACAGCATACGGCGTCTGAATCCGGTGCTGAGGAGCCACAATATCCTTCAAGCCGGTCGGTGGTTGGAAAGTGTTGATAGCTGTCAAAGGCTCCGTGATTACAGGCGTTGACCTTTCGATGGCGGTGGCGTAGACATTGGAGAGGGTGTTAAAGGTTGTTGGAGACTTTGGATCAACAAGAGCCAAGGATCTGTTGATAGTCGTATGGGGAGCGGGTGATGTCTTGATAGTCAAGGACAACTTTGGCCTTCTTGAGGCTGTTCCTGTCTGGGTAGACATGGTGTCCACGTGATGCGGGCCCGACAAGTAAAGGGTTAGTTGGTGGATGTTGCAGGTCTGCGGCTCAGTCCTAGTAGCCAACAGAATAGTTGGTTGGACCGGAATTAGATGATGACCTTAGCCTCCCAACGGGGTGGAATCTCCAGGGATAAGAGAAGCAACTCAAATCGAAGAAGAGGGGAAATATTGGCGAGAAGACGAAAAAAGAAGGGGGCGGCGGCTATATAGATTAGGTTGGGGTGCAACGCTGGGCTGGGATTAAGTTGTTGCGTTGAAGTGAGGGGTTCGGTGTTAACCAACATGGAAGATGGCGAGCGTCGAGTCGAGGTCGAGAAGCGCCACTAAGCAGACATATATGCAATGCAGTGTGACTGCGAGCAAGACCATAACCGCGACTGCACGAAGGATTGTGTCGCACGCAGCAAGGCACCCCTCAGATCAGCCAGCTCCAGTTCTGGTTGGCTATTTTGGGCAACCAGTGTGATGGAGAAGAGGCGCAAGCGCCGGGCCCAGCGGAATCCCTGTCACCTCGACTCGTACCCCTGCACAAAGGCCAATCAAGCATCGGCGACGTCGGCTGTTTGTGCCCGAAGCGGCGTCTATTTGTTCGATGGCCAGGGTGCCTTTGGATAAGGATTGCTCGCCATGTCCGAACGGAGAGACGGTGAGAGAGATAGACGGCCGGATTCCAGAGTCATGGGATATTCTTCAGACCTGAGCGAGCTGTCATGCTCTTGACACAAATGCATCGAGTCAAAGGGGGGGGGAGGCGGCTATTCAGACGCCATCGTCCAGTCCTGGTCCCGGGACAGCATCTTCCCGCAAGCCACTTTGAGGATTCCTTTGAGAGTGGTCTTGACAGAAGGCGCAGGCGTTCGACTCTTCTGTTAAGTCCGGCACAATATTCATCTCCGAGGTTTCTCAATTGAGATAACAGCAGCCTGATGCGTCGCCGTCTAGTGTGGGGGAGGGAAATGAAAAAAGGGCTGAGTATCGGAAGGAAGCGAATTCTTGTCTAGTACGGAGTACTAGTCTCTCCGGTTTTCCCGCTCCACTTGCGTCTATCGCAAGAGACGCGACAGCCGATGGCGCGGGGATGTCAGTGATTGCTGTGCCACTATACGGTGGACCCTTGCTTACTGGGAAACAACTCCCTGGCTGGAGAAGCGATCTCGCCAAGCCACACATTTACGATAGCCCCAGTAGAGATGTCCAAAATTAGGTAATCATGCAGAGTCTAATGTTCTTTCCTTCCACATACCTTCTGTCTCCACTCTTGCGCCGAAAGCGGCCGGCACCGGCTGGTAGGTTCAGATGTTCTCCAAATTCGACGTCACCCCGCCGGTGACCCTACCCTCCACAAACACCCTGAGAAGCCGCCGGCCTGGCCGTGCTCTATTGCAAACACCATCCAAGAAAAGCCAAGGTCTTCAATGATACCGAGCTTCCAACGGCTACGAAACATCTTCAGGGGCCTTCTCGTTAATTTTCTCAGCTCACTTGTGTTGCACCTGCCTGCCAAGCAGTTGCCAATTACCTCGATAAATCTTTACCATCCAATCATTGGATCGACCAGGCGACGACCTCTCAGCGAGCTCTAATTTGTCTTCCAATGGATTATAGCTCAAAAGGCCGCCGGCGACTTACACGACTGCCCGAAGGCTTCGCTGACTTGCACCTCAGGGCAAGGCGACATCCCCACTCACAACTCTGCATTTTTAGAAGAGCAGTAGAGGCAGTAAAGGCGAACTGAGCGCCCGGGAAGATCCCTAAGGGGAAAAGAAAGAAGAAAAAGTGACTTGTTCACGCGCTTACTTTTTTTTCACTGGATTTTCCAGCATTGTTGAGCATATTGGCATAAAACACATGATGGGTGCGTGACCATGCCATCCGATTAATATATTGTTCATCTGGCCATTCCGACACGTTAGGCTTTACTAACATTAACGTATCATCCCTCATAGGCTCCACAATTCAAGACACCTTCCCTTTAACCATCCCGGACTGGAGAACAGCTCAGGAGGACGACAATGGCCTACCCCGTCTCCTGAAACTTCGTGAATCTGAAGCCAGATTAAATTCCAATGTATGGATAGCTCTGGCCACACCAACCCAGATCAAGAAACAATGGGCTCATGCCGAGTCCCTGCGATCCGACGGTGCCACTTTACCACTCTTCGGCGTCCCCTTTGCCGTCAAAGATAACATAGATGTCGCCAGCTTTCCCACAACTGCAGGCTGCCCCAGCTTTGCAAATGGCCCTGTCGACAAGGATGCTACCGTCATCGCTCGCCTGAGAGCCGCCGGTGCTATTGTACTCGGCAAAACCAACCTCGACCAATTTGCAACAGGCCTTGTAGGTACCAGGTCACCCTATGGTCCTGTGGGGAACCCTTTTGATCCCACGAGAGTGAGTGGTGGTTCGAGCTCCGGCAGTGCCGTTGTTGTTGCTAGAGGGGTCGTACCGTTTTCCCTGGGAACTGATACTGCAGGCAGTGGCCGTGTGCCCGCTGGCTTGAACAACATTGTTGGGCTGAAACCCACGAGGGGTGCTCTCAGTACGGCCGGAGTACTGCCCGCGTGCCGCAGCCTTGACTGTGTGTCCATCTTTGCCCTCACTATCAACGATGCCGAAACGGTGCTATCAGCCGCAGAGGGATTTGACCCTGAAGACTCTTTCTCGAGATCTAGACTGCGTAGTATAGAAGTTCCTAAACAACGACGCATGGCTATTTGTGAGAGCCCACCTTGGTTCGGCAAAACTGAGCAAGCAGTCGCGTACGGTAAAGCCTTGTTGAAGGCTGAGTCCCTCGGATGGCTCCTTGAGCTTAGGGACTTCTCATCGCTATTCAAGCTCGCTAGCCTGTTGTACGATGGTCCATGGATTGCCGAGCGATATGCCGCAATTAAAGACTTCATCGAGTCACATGAACATGAGATGGATCCCACGGTTCGGGAGATCATATTGAAGGCCAGGAATTTTGACGCCTCGGATGTTTTCGCATCAGAATACTTGCGTCAAGATTTGACTCGTGAGATACAAGGCAAGTTTGCCGAGTGTGACGGGATTCTGGTGCCTACGACACCCACCTTTCCAACAATAGAGGATCTCGCCCGAGAACCAATCAAAGAAAATGCGTATTTAGGCACTTTCACTAACTTCGTCAACTTCATGGACTGGGCCGCCATATCTGTCCCGGCTGGCTTTAGATCAGACGGCTTGCCTTTCGGTATTACATTAATTTCTTCCTGTTGGGAAGAGGAAAAGCTGCTTACTTTTGCACGTGAATGGCTATCTGCGGTCCCTCGAGCTCTCGGGGCCACTGACATTATAAGGCTAGAGCCACTAAAACCCGAAGTTTTCGCCGTGAGAGAGTCCACAACAACTCGTCTTGTAGTGGTAGGCGCTCATTTGATGGGGTTCCCTTTGAACAAAGACCTGACGTCTCGAGGAGCAACACTAGAGACGGCAACAACTACCTCTGCCAACTACAAGTTATATTCTCTCAACACTTCCGGAACACTGAAAAAGCCGGCCCTCAAGCGTGTTCCCGCCGGCGGTAGTGCCATTAAGGTTGAGGTCTGGAATCTACCTAACGTAGAAATGGCCACCTTCATGAAGACAGTGTCCTCTCCCCTTGGCATCGGCTCCGTTGAGCTGGCGGACGGCAGTTGGGCTCACGGATTCGTATGTGAGCCCTACGGTCTGAGCAACGCGACCGACATCACTGTGTATGGAGGCTGGAGGGCCTTCACCGAATCTGTCGATTTCAAGTCCCATGTCAGTGGAATGTCACCAAACGTCTCCACAGCTAAGACTATTCAAGTCAAATCTGTTCTTATAGCAAATCGCGGAGAGATTGCCGTCCGAATCATTCGCACACTACGTCGAATGGGTTTAAAAGCTATCACAATTCACTCCTCTGCCGATGCGCGCTCCCCGCACGTTCACAACGCCGATGTCTCCCTTGCCCTAGAAGGTAGCTCTGTCTCGACGACTTACCTCAATGGTCCCCAAATTTTATCCTTGGCAAAGCGTGCCGGTGCGGATGCCATCATCCCAGGTTATGGCTTCCTAGCTGAGAATGCCGACTTCGCCTCTTCCGTGGAAGCTGAAGGTATGATTTGGGTCGGGCCCACAGCCGACCAGATGCGGAAGCTGGGATTGAAGCATCTTGCTCGCAGTGTTGCGATTGCGGCCGGCGTCTCTGTCATACCAGGTAGCAACCAGCTTCTTAAGAGCGTCGACGAGGCGCTAGCTGAAGCAGAGCGTATTCAATACCCTGTAATGCTAAAGAGTACTGCGGGAGGTGGTGGTATTGGCTTGAAGCGCTGCGACGACTCCAAATCACTCGCTGAGGCATTCGAGAGTGTTCAGCGACTAGCTCACGCCAACTTCGGTGACGCTGGTGTTTTCATCGAGCATTTCATTGAGCATGCACGTCACGTTGAGGTGCAAATAATTGGTGATGGGAAGGGCAATGTTGTGTCGGCTGGTGAACGGGATTGCTCGCTTCAGCGACGGAACCAGAAGGTTATCGAGGAAAGCCCCGCAGTGTTTGTGCCTGTTGACGTCCGGGCTAGAATGCGCAAAGCAGCCGTTGATCTCGCCTCGGCAATCGGATACCGAAACCTAGGCACTGTCGAGTTCATCTACAATATCGACACTACGGATTTCTATTTTCTTGAGGTCAATACTCGGCTTCAGGTAGAGCATACGGTGACAGAATCTGTTACTGGGCTGGACTTAGTGGAGTGCATGATCCGCGTGGCATCTGGCGAGTGCGATCACCTCTTTAAGGGCAAGCCAGACGGGTTCCAGGTGATGGGCAATTCCATCGAAGTGCGTGTTTATGCCGAGAGCCCTCTTCAAAACTTTCGTCCGTCTCAAGGTCGTCTCCTGGATGTCTCGTTCCCAACAGATGTACGCGTTGACACTTGGGTTGAGGCAGGTATGGAAATGTCTTCATCCTATGATCCTCTGATGGCCAAAGTTATTGCTACAGGCCAAAACCGGATGGAGGCGATTTCCAAGTTGGCCATCGCTCTAGACAAGATTGTGATTACAGGGGTGGAGACCAATCTAGAATACCTACGTCGCATTGTCAGCTCTGAGATATTCAATTCCGGTGACTTAACCACCACTTCACTCGACGGTTTTGAGTTCGATGCAAAACTAGTCGAAGTTGTCGACTCTGGTACTCTGACAACAGTCCAAGACTACCCTGGCCGCAAAGGATTGTGGCACGTCGGCATTCCACCATCTGGGCCTTTCGACGACTATTCCTTCAGACTGGGCAACAGGCTAGTTGGTAACCATTCACGCGCGGCTAGTCTGGAATGCACTGTACAGGGACCGAGTCTGCTCTTTCACACCGACGCGATTGTAGCCGTCACCGGTGCGCCCACTAGAGTTACGATCAACAATATGCCCGCCCAGCAAAACATGGTTATCAGGATTTCCAAAGGAGAAACTCTCTCGGTTGGGGCTCCAACAGCTGGTTGCCGTACCTATGTTGCTGTTCGTGGTGGCATCGACGTTCCCGAGGTTTTCGGTTCCCGCTCAACTTTTACCTTGGGCCGGATAGGGGGTCACAATGGCCGAAACCTTCGCGCCGGCGACCTCCTTCCCATCGGTGTCATGGTTGTTTCTACAGCCTCGGAAGTGACTTTTCCTATTATATCTATCCCGTTAGAGTCGGATAATTCCATTTGGACTCTTGGAGTAATACCTGGGCAGCATTCAGCGCCCGAGCACTTCACTGAAGAGGGCTTCGACACTCTTTTCAGTGGCGAGTGGGTCGTTCATTATAACAGCAACCGCGTTGGCATCCGTCTAGACGGTCCGAAGCCTCAGTGGGCTCGATCAACTGGTGGTGAAGCGGGATTGCACCCGTCCAACATCCACGACAGCCCCTATTCAGTTGGCAGCGTCAGCTTCACCGGCGACGAGGCCGTCATTTTGGCTTCTGACGGTCCCAGTCTTGGTGGTTTCGTTGTCTTCTGCGTCATAGCATCGGCCGAGATGTGGAAGCTTGGGCAGCTTCGACCAGGCGATAAAGTGAAGCTCAAGCCCATCAGCGTCAACGACGCGCTCGCCCTGGAAACTGCCCTAGAGGATTCCATAGCCAAAATCACTCCCTTAAAACACGAAAAAACGCTAATAACCAAGGGTTACGCACCAGACGATTTGAACCCTTTGCTCGGTAACATCGGCACGGGGGGCCGTCATATTACAGCCCGACAAGCAGGTGACAACTCGGTGCTCCTTGAGTTTGGAACAGAAGACATCTTCTCTCTCCGTCAAAGCCTACAGATCTTCGCCTTCATTGACCGTCACAACAAAAGCCCCATCCCTAACGTCCTCGACCTCTCCCCCGGTGTCCGTACCTTACACGTTCAGTACACTCCAGGAACCCCACCACTGAAAATACTTTCAGCTCTCTGCGCCCATGAGAGGTCGCTAGGCACTGCAATACCCTCTTCTCTCCCTTCTCGCACCATTCGCTTGCCCCTCGCCTTTGACGACTCCGTCTCCCGCGCTGCAGTCGCTCGCTATGCTGCCACCATTCGTGCCACCGCTCCCTGGCTTCCCAGCAACATCGATTTCCTCCAGCAACTGAACGCTCTCAACTCCCGGGACGATGTGGAATGTATTTTCCTCGACGCAACTTTCCTCGTGCTAGGTCTCGGAGATGTTTTCCTCGGCGCCCCCTGCGCTGTACCGCTGGACCCACGTCATCGACTCTTTGGGACCAAATACAACCCATCTCGCTCATTCACTCCCCGTGGGGCCGTCGGAATAGGCGGGCAGTATATGTGTATCTATGGCATGGACTCTCCCGGCGGGTACCAACTTGTGGGACGTACAGTGCCGATCTGGGACGACGTAGCTGCCTCGGCCGCGTCTCAGCAATCTCCGCCATGGCTATTCCGGCTATTCGATAGGATCTCCTTCTACAGCATCTCCGAGGCAGAACTCGACACCGCCATCGAGCTAGGAAAGACCGATACCCTCATTAAGATCGATGAGGGCAGCCTAAATTTAGATGAATACGAGGCTTGGCTCGAGACGAACAAGGACGACATCGAAGCCACCCGTTCTGCGCGGGCCGAGGCCATTCGTACGGCGCCTTTTATGCAGGAGCTTTTACAGCCGTATCATTTTCCAGAGACAGAACGTAGGCGAATTGAGAAAGAAGACATTGCGGGCGAGAGGGTGAAGGCGCAGATGCCCGGGCGATGTTGGAAATGCGAGGTCAGAGTCGGATGTGAGGTCGAAGTCGGGGATACACTTGTGTGGATCGAGTCCAATAAGATGGAGATAAAGATCGAGAGCCCTGTGAAGGGGAAGGTGGTCAAGATGCTGGTTTCTGAGGGGGACATTGTCGGGCCGTACGATGATTTACTCATTATCGAGACCGAGCATTGACCGGGCGTTTGTTTGACTTGTCAAAACTACCACCAAGTTTTTCTGATTAATAACATAATTTCAAATAAAGCGCGTTTCTTACCGAGTTGATGACACTCATCTCCTCCCAACAAATAGAATGAGCCTTGGGAGTCCAGTACTAGTCATTAGCATCTCATCGTTCAACTGTAGATTCAAGGCAAAAATAGGAGAAGACGGCAAGTGATGTTCGGGAAACAGAAAACGCCCTTGTAAATTCCAATGTAGTTTCAACAGAGCTCTGTGACCACACGACCTGTGTGTAATCCAACAAATCCCCACTCGCCTCCGCGCGTTGTACAGTTCGCGAGGGCTCTATTTGATGCGCGAGGGCCTTGAGTACCCGCGATTTCCTATTCTACACAGACTCTTCCAACTCTTACTTTTAATCATACAGTTATTTTTACATGCACTGGGCCGGACCGCCTTCGTCTGTTGTATGTTAGAGTGTGTCGTTTGACGGGGGGTGGAACAAGCGAAAGAAGACTTACTTCTTATCATCTTGGCGACTGCCTGTATCAGACTAATCACCATAACCAAGGTTCCAAACGCAACAATGGCCATAGCAACGTACGTCTTCCAAGAGCGGGTAGTAAGTTTGATATAACACAGCGGCGGGAGAATGTACGCCATAGCGCAGGCCGAAGTGGCTCCCACGAGCTCAAAGACAGTGCCGACGTCGCACGTCAACAAACTGAGGATCATGGCTGACACTACCAGACTGGAGCTGAAGATGAGATGTAGGTTCATGTTGAAGGGCTCCCCGGGGAAGAAATAGTTAAACATAACCTCACGACACACAAAGCCCTCGAGGGGTAGGGTGGTAAGCATGTTGAGGCCGAAACAGAGGCGGGCGATGGTGACCATAACATTGTCCGAGGGAAAGTTGTTAAGGACGTTGCCGAGCGTCTTGTCGCCGAAGGTGAGGAAGCCAGCGAGGGCCATTAGGAGGCAGGCGACCATTGAGATGCCCGTAGAGTAATGCGTCACACGGGAAAAGCGGTCTATGGTGGGCGTTTTCAGAGATCCATAAATCAGGAGCGAGTTATGGTGGCACACAAAGGCTAAAAGAGTTAGACTCGTGACAATGAAAGGCAAGGATGTGAGACGGTACCAAATGAGATCACGCCAATGGCTTCAAAAATGCCGCCGTTTATAGTCAGGAGGGCGGGCGAAAAAGAGCCCCGTTCAGACTTGGGAGTTAGAGCACCCTGAATCACAACCGTCGCGACAATGACGCCCATGCTTATAAGAGCCAACGTGCTTGCCTTGGCCAGCTAGAAAGTTCGGTTAGCACTCAGTGCCCCCCTCATTATGAGTTTCTGGGGTACTCACCTTGGCAATATCCCGGTACAACGTCAAGGGGTAGCTGATGCCCAGTACAAAAACCACAATGACAACCTGCCTGTTCGCCAAAAGGCCTAACACGGGCATCTCTCTCAGGTCTGGCCAGATGGCCGTCAGAACGTGCGGTATTGAGTCGCCCACAATGATGCCAAATGCTACCATGCCGCCAAAGGCAAACGCCCACTGCGCAACCGAAATGGCAATCAACCCCGTCCTGCCAAAGCAGTGCTCCACCGTACCCTGGAAGCTATTGCTCCCAGATAGCTTGCTGTTTATGACGATTAAGCAAATTGTCCAGTCCACAATAACCGTCAGCACGACGAGCAGTATGATGCCCGCCAATAATCCTGCCTGCTTGAAAGCATATGGTTGTCCAATAATGCCAGCCCCGATGATTGAGTTCGCCATGTTCATGAAAGCCATCTTCAACCCCGACTTGGGGCGGCTGCGCTCGGCCTCCGCCCACTCGTGTACATCCTCTTCTCCCCAAGGACTATTCGCCAAGGTAATGGAAGGGGCTTCGATGTCGGTCAACAGAGGCAGACGGTGGTTGTCGTCATAGTCGGGCGCATGCTGAAAGAGCTCATCGTCGACATCGAAGCTGTCGCGACTCAGGTGATCTATGGATCCATTGCTCGTCGTGGAGGCGCGCGGGGGTGGTGGTTCGACAATGGAGGGGATAGGATCAAAGCGGACGCGGTTCGGAGTGCGCGGCGTTCCTGGGGAGCGGAGGGCTTGACGGAGCGGCTGCGCGCCTTGCGGCTGTGGTTTTGCTACAAAGTAGTCGCCGCCAGCACCTGCGTGGTGATTATCAGGGTGAGAGAGGGGATCGTCAGTAAGGAGACTTCTGTCCTCTTCGCTTGGGCCTGGAGCGCCCGGATGGGAGTCGTCTCGGTGGGCTCCATGGTTACGGGCCTTGGCCATTGTAAGTTATTGCGCTGTCATTTTCCGGCGGAAAAAGACAAAGGACAGCGAAGGAGAAACTCGAAGGCGACTTCAAAAGGTGTGAAGTTCTTGCCGTCTATCGTTTCTGGAATTCGGGTGTGGTGTTATAACTGGAGCAATAAGGTGTTTCTTTTGGACAATGTCAGAGGTAAACCGGACGTCTATTGTCGGCTCTGTCTTTCAGTCGACGTTGCAAGCTGACCTGAAGTGGAGGTACGTACCCCCTTACTCTTAGGGGACCGGGAGCTGTCAGTAGTCCGCGTACCCGGCGACAGGGGCGCGGATGTTTTAGTGGGTTCGGGGGAACGAGTAGGTGCTGTAGAATGACGGGGTATCATAGTGTATCGACCGGGTAGTCCATAGGTGAGAAGTTACATATATAGACTTTCCTAATCAGGCTAGATTCCCTTTTCCTCCCCTACCCGGTATCCGTAATCTTTTGCTTATCCCACGCACACAAAGTTCGGCGTAATGAAGGTGAGCGACTTATCAGAGAAAAAATTCCCACCCACTGCAGCTGTGTCTGTGTTGCGATAACAGCACATAGCCCAGGCCAAATCAGACGACGCAACCTCTCCAACGAGCCGCTCAATTCGCCGAAACAGCCCCGGTGTTAACGCACTGGAATATCTTTAGGGCCTTGTTTCACCTCTTGCAGCTTTATCGCGGCCGCTCTCAGGCTCTGAAGTCCCGTGCTTCGGTAGCCCATTTCCTCTCTCTCTTCGACCCTTAATTTTTTTTTTTACACTCAACGGCCGGCCCAGCCCAGTCGGGGTCAACGACCACTTGGTCGGGCTCAAGTACCGAAAGAGTCAGGGGAGGACCGACGATCACTTACAATCCCGATTACGGCCTTGCCTCAGTGTGACTGACCAGCCTCAATGCCGCCATAGCCCACCCCCTCCAAACCCCCAAGGCTTTTGGTACGGCAGCGTTAGTTGCATGAGGAGCCTCTCATCTGAGAAAAGAATAATCGCCATCGGCAGGGAGGGGCTTCGTTCCCTTTTTATTTCAATTCCACGGAGATTCATGTGTGTCACCGGATTTACGTGACAATAGACACTAATAGTCACGCTGGTCTTCCTTATCTCGCCTCACAACCCAGTCAAACCACTATCTGAGCCTCATCACCCCAGACTTAAGCTTACCTTATCTCACTGCCCCAATCCCCGCGCCGCGGCCCGTCGCCCGCATCCGCCTGCCGAACATGGACGCAACACATGCGCCCTACGGCAACGCCCCCGCCCCCGTCTCAGCCGGCCCGGGCCCTACGGCCATGCCGGCGCCCACGTCGACGCCACCAGCTCAGATCTCTTCTTTCGAATCGCACCCCTCGGCGGCCGTTGCGGGGCAATCGACAAGCTCATCAACGTCAGGGGCCCAGAGCCGCCCCTGTGACATCTGTCGCCAGCGTAAGACACGCTGCGTCCGCGAGGAGGGCCGCGATAAGTGCGTGATGTGTTCATTCCATGGCCAGCCGTGCACATATCTCCGCGGCCCGCTCCCACGCAAGCGCCGGAAGGCTACAGATCCTCCGGAGCAGCGGCCGCCGACCAATGGATCCATATCTGCGCCCGCTGGCCCTCCACCTGCTCCCGCGCCACTGGAGGCCCAGGAAGAGATAACGTAAGTATCATTACATTTCATCCTTATCGTTTGTCACCACTACATACTTTCCGAATGTACTCTAGCCATCATGTCCCAAATCGACATGTTGTGCTGTGTCATGGCTTTCCTCTTTAGACCATCCTCATCCTTGTCATTCGTTCATTCCATCGCAACTCTTCCTCCTGCCCTTTCCATTAAGTAACCTATTTCTGATGATTGCCAGACAACCTTCTCCCGAGCTGCTAGAGGCACTATCACCGTCCCTCGCCGGCTCCGAGAACATCGCTCACTTCGCCCCCATCCCCTCATTACTAGACGGAACTCTCGGACTACACCTCAAGACTCATTCCGAGTACGTTGGCAACACAAACTACCGGGAACCCTCCCTACTGGACCTCCACCGCCCTCAAGACCCAAGCACTCGCGCCGTTCGCCGCCTCGACGACTCGACTGTCTTCCTCATCCACCGCGACCGCGAGACGTCTTCTGAACCCCAACGCATAGCCGATCTCGACGCCATCGAAAAGGTCGTTCACCCCTTGGGCTCCACCCTTGTGAACCTCTACTTCCGCATAGTCCACCCAAGCTTCCCCATCCTCCACAAGAAGGTCTTCCTCGAGAAGTATGCCCGCTCCTACCATGAATTTTCCCCACCCCTCCTCGCCGCCGTTTACCTCATCGCCCTCGACTGGTCGCTATACGACCGCACCCTCGCTACGTCCTCCTGGCAGCCCGATCAGGCCGCCCTCGAGTCCCTAGCCCTGCGCACCATGAGCGATGACATGAAGCGTCCCAAGATCTCCACCCTCCAGGCCGGCCTGTTGATCCAGCAGCGCTTCCGGAATAACACCTGGACCTTCACAGCCCAACTCATCGCCCTCGCCCAGGGGTTAGGTCTGCACGTCGACTGCAGCGACTGGGCCATCCCGGATTGGGAGAAAGGCCTCCGCCGCCGCCTCGCCTGGGCGCTTTTCATGCAGGACAAATGGGGCGCCCTCGTCCATGGCCGGCCGTCGCATATCCGTCTCGAAGATGATTGGGACGTGCGGCCGTGTCGTGTAGAAGACTTTCCCGAGAATGCGGCGGACGAGGAGCACGACCCGGAGGGTAGCGCCGAGGTCGTCGTCGGACGGGAGCTGTTCCTGCGACAGATTGAGCTATCGCTGATCCTCAGCGACGTCCTGGCCACGTTCTACACCACCAAGGCGACCCGTCGCGGCGGCACCCTCGACCAGATCGGTACCGTGGGTGTCGCAGAGCTCGCGAAGCCTATCGTAATGATGCTGAGAGAGTGGTACGCCAGACTCCCGGAAGCACTGCAACTCCAAGAAACCCGCCTCAAGAAGCTTTCGGCAAACGGTAAGTCCCTACCTTTCTATCCCTGTTCTTACTCTGACGGTGGGTCTCATCTAACTCACCACAGGCTCCCTTCACCTCTCCTACATCTCAATAGACCTAGCCCTTCACCGCTCGTTAATCCGTAATATCTCTGCCAACGCGCCCGCCGAGCTCCGCACCGCCATCCGCACAGGTGCTCGAACCCGTCTCGCAGCTGCTTCCAGCATCATCTCCAACCTGCAGATGGAGCACATCCAGTCCTTCTGGGGCTTCGCAGCCTCGGCGCAGCTCGCCGCCATCGGCTCGTTCGCCGGCCTCTTATGGGCGACATCCGACGACGATGCAGAGGCGATGTACTACGCCGAGAATGTTGAAGAGTACCTCTGGAGCCTAAGAGTACGGGCTCAGGCCGCGCCCTTCGCGAGAGAGGCGCTGCGCATGCTCGAGGCTGATGTCGGAGGACTTGAGGCCGTCAGGGCTGCTGCGACAGGGCTTCATGTGGAGATGAAGATATGAACCCCCCCCCCCCGGGGGGGAGCTTGGCTTATGAGCGTGCTGATGTGTAGTGGCACCTTAGGGAGGTTCATGACTGACGTGAATATATTTATGTACAACGAAATGCAATTAAACGGAAACAGAAAAAAGGGGGTCAAAAGGGAGGTTGTTTGTCTACACGGACGGGGAAAGTGGGTGGGGCTGGAGCGGCACGCAAATCTGCTTTTGACATTTCTGGGATACCCCCTACAAAATACCGATGGAATGGAGGGCTTTTGCTGTTATTTACAGACAAACATGTTTCTTGTTTGATATGAGTATCGCGGATTGGCTTTTGCAAGCGTTTTTTTTTTGTTTTGTTTTTTTTTCCCACGGGGCTAGTTTGTTTTGTTTGCCTATTTATCCCTGTAGTAGGTTACAATCTTGAGTGGTTTCATGTCACATTTGTTGTGAACGTGTCTCCATGCAGGGTTGAGAAGATTTGTATGGCCGTAGAGAATCAGACGCTTTTTCTATTTACATTATAAACAAATATTTTAAAATCTACATGGCCATCTGTAGCGGGCCGTCTGTGTCGGTCCCTATGGGGTATCATATGCACGTAAACATCCAATTTCCCGTTCCGAAATCTCGATCAAAATGAGACTGTAGCGCTTGACAAAAAACTCCTTAATAACATCCGAACATGGCGAAGAGACAAAGGGCTGCCGCGGCAGCCACATTGGCGCGGGGAAAAGATGCCGCGCCTGTCATGGATGGGGTTTGCGCGGTCGCGCCAGTTGTCTCGTGCCCGCTCAGACCAAGAGTGGGCGTGGTGGGCGTGATAGGCGAGGTGGGCGTGGTGGTCGCCTTTGACGCCACAACAGTGGTCAAACCAGGCTGGTTCACCACAGGAGGCGTCGAGGCCGGTTGGGCGGTCGAGGTGGTGCTGGTGACTGGTGGAGGGTCGTTCCTGGTTGCGAATCCTATGAAAGGACAGTCAGCAAATTGCACGCAGGCTGTGGATGTCATGACGGGCGACTCACCAATACGCTTTTGGTCCTTGTCAAAGACCGCGTATACGTTCTTTAGGAAAACATCTCCCAGCAGCCAGGCTCCCGGTACCACCTCGTGGCCATAAATGTTACTCGTACAAACGCCTTCGGCGTTCGGCTTGCTCCTCCAATCTTTGGCGGAGATAGTGTAGCTGACGCCAGAGAAGGTGTAAGCGACGGCTTTGTTGCTGTCACACGGCACCTTGTAGGTTGTGCCATCGTCCGAGGAAGATCCCGGGATGTTGCTGTGGAACGCGGCGACGTCGGACTGCGGACCAAAGACGTAGGACGTACCAGTGTCGATGTAGGCAAGCTTTCCTGCCGCACCAGACTTTTTCCCGTCGTAAGTAATGCCGTCCACGGGGATCGCCCAGTCGCCATTCTCAGAGCCCACTGGAGTGTACGTAAAGTCGCCCTTGTACTTATCCGGGTTGCAATTACCAAAGCTGATCTCACTCGTGTTGGGTCCATCCGCCGCTCTGTTCAGGTAGACACAGAAGATTGTGGCGGCGAGCACTTTGGAGTTTTGGACAGCTTGCACAAAGTTCTCCGTCTCGCCGCCGGCCATTGAGAGACCCAGGATGCCGTCGAAGGGGAAGTGGTTAAAGTCTTCCGAGGTCTCATTGGCGACACCGAACTCGAATTTGAGATTCATACCGGCAAACGAAATAGTGTCGGTTATCTTCTGGCCCTTGACTGAGCCAGAGCCGTAGGCGACGGAAAAATTCTCTCCAAGATCCTTGTATGTGTCCGAATCGCTAGGGCCGAAGGAGCCGTGCTTCTCACAGGCAGATGATTTGCACGAAGACCCCATTACCCAACTGGTGCCAGCCCCGGTGTCGACGAGCATCCACAAAGGCTTCGCCTTGGAACCAAACTTGACTTGGGCAAAGTAGGAGAAGTCGGTGCCGTCCTGTGCGACACTGGCAGCGTTCTTGAGCTTGGTGTCTGCGGCTGTAACAATTCGATACACGCTTTGTCTCGTGGACTGGCGAGCTCTCTCCTGGACAATGGCAGCAGATTGAAACCTTGCGTATTTGCGGGTGAGACGGACGGCCTCACGAGAAACTCGGTCAAGCTGGACATCTTCGGTCTGCGAGCTAGTGTTAGTATGTATTGGTCCATATCTGAAGGCCGTTGAGATCTATTTCAGATTTGAAAATAGTCATAGGCCCATCTACTTACCAAATCATCGGTAGTCTGAGGACCAACCTGGAAAGATGGGCTCTTGACGGACTTGATGGCGTTTACCACATCGGATGCAAGGGCACCTTGGTCTTTCAATTGCCTCTTGTCTGAAGATTTGCAGTCGTCGAATAGCTCGCAGCGGTACTCGGGAATCCAAGGCTGAAAGGCTTGAACAGACGATAAAAACAGCGACAGATGAACCAGGACTTGGGTCGAACGCATCTTGGAACAAGATGCTGGACGTTCGGGTAAACAAAGTAATAATCGCCAATGGTTTGGTGGAAGATCGAGTAGGGCTTGTCGATGTAAAACCGTACGAAGACGAGGCCAATTTAATCCAACCAGGGTGGTAGTGCAGAGACAATCGAATCGCTTTTCCGTTAGACGAAAGGGATTGGTAATTTGACAAGCAAGCAACGGATGATGATTCGGTTTGCTTGGAACAAAATGAATTAAGGTGAGTGAGGATCGGATATCGGCGGACTCAGGTTCGGACAAGCTCGCGGGTACCAGACTCCGCGACGGAGGACAGATTATGATATTAAGAATTAGTCGACGGGCATATAATGCTGCTAGAATGAGTCTCGAAGCTGAAGGGTGAGCGGCCGGTATACACGGAGGAATGCGTAATGTTTGAGTGCGGTCTTGGCTGATGGATATAAAAATGCTGTACGCTGGCCAGTCGAACCAAGGGCAAGACAACGGAACTGATGGACTGGTGACCGAGGGCGCCACTAGCGAGCAGTGCTAGAGACACGATGCGAGACAATGAGACAAGGGTAACTGGATGATGACGGAACTATCTCGTTCTGTAAGTTGTAATGAGAGGGAGCAAAAATAGAGAGAAGGCGATTATCTCTCTCTTTCTTCTGTTTCTCAATGTATGCCCAACTTCAAGACCAAAAATAGATGATCTTGAAATGCGAGCAAACCAATATGAGGCGGCAAGCTCGAAAAAAAGAAAAAGAAAACGAAAAAAGAGAGAGAGAGAGAACCCCCCAAGAGATAGAGAGGCTGGAGAGGTGAGGCGAGGGTAAGGGTGAAGGGTGAAGGGTGAGGGCGAGAGGCAAGAGGGAAAGAGGAGACGAGGGAGGATCGTGGGGAGTAGATATGGAGATGTACGAATCGGAGCCGGAGGAGGCGTGGGCAGCTCTACCAGGCCAGACGAACTAGGCTCTAGTGTAGCAACGATGGTCTGCTGGAGCCGGGGTAGAAGGTGAGCAGCAGCGTGGTGGTGCCCAGAAGCTGACATGGGGGGGTAGTAGCCGACGCCGCTCACTGGTCAGACGTTGGCTGCTTGTCTGGCTCTGTTTCCACGGGTCACCCGAAAGAGAAAGGGACCTGCTAAAAGAGAGTGGTACTTGCAGGCCATTATTGGCCGGGTGAAGACTTGGGCATGCTAGCGGCGCGGTGTAAGTGGGATGGCCGCCCGTTTTTTTTGCATTGCTGCTAAGTGCCACTTCCAGAGCAAGTGGGCGGGCAGCGCTACTTTCAGCAGCGAGGTGCACGTCCTAGTGGAGGCCAGATCTACACACATGCATGCAAATGCGCAGGGGAACGATACGGCGAGTGGCATTTTGAGGCGTTACTGACCCAACCGGCTTTCACTTGCTTGACTCTGTGACTCGGATGACAGCCTGTATGTCTCTGAACCTTTCTTTTGTTTTTCTTCTTGTCTTTTTTCGATCCCCTTCTCCCCGCCAATGTCTGTCCTCGTTGTGCAGTTTCTTCGCAAAAGGGAAGCAAGCCATCTCTAGGCATGCTCCCCTAGTCGAGGCTATCAAACCCCCCTGTAGCCCTGGCATCTGCCAAGTCACCTCCATTATGGAGGCGCCTGGTCCGTGGTGTCATGCATACATCGTTTTTCCCAAGGGAAACACGGACAGAAAGGTGCATTGCATTATAGACAACTGGCACCCGGCGACGGACAGAGGCAAAAAGAAAAAGAAAGTGCGTTTTGGCGTGTCCTTGCCGCTAAACGAATCCCAACGGCCCCACACAAACAGAGTCTTTGTGTGCACAGCATCTCCCCTGTAGCGGTTTACTTCCACGGATGCACTGATGGGACGAACAGTATGTTTGCCATCTGTCACTATGGCCGATGCCCTCCGCTGTAATCGACTCTGATTGGCCAACAGCTCAACCGAAGTCTCCCCTCCCCTTTGACAGTACAATCTTTTCTCTTTCGGGAAGTGGCCTTCAGGGGCAACCGCTCATCTTTTTGTTCCAACTGACCTCAAGCTTTTCGGCCCTTAATCATCCCGCCAGTCAAACCCGTAGAGTGCCTTCATCGCCGCCTCTATTTTTTTTTTTTTCCCTTCCTTCCGCGTGTGGCTGCGTTTGCATCTACTTGGGACTTCATGTCTCACCTCCTTTCCTGTGGACCTCAACCTCGGTTCCCGATAAACCAGGTCAAACACTAAAGAGCCAGTGGCCAGCCTGGTTCGTCGTTCACTTCCTCACCTCCGCAGATTAGGGCCTCGTGGTTAAAATGCCTCTGGCGCCTCAGTCTTGCGTCAAATCGACCGTTAACGTGGGCGGGATACGAACGAGAGACGAACGACCAAGCCAATTCCACTGCTAGCCGCAGCCACCGAATTGACCGTCTTGCCTGCTTTGGCGCTAGGAAAACAAGGGGGGTTCCTAAAGAGTCTCCACTCTCAATGTGCCCCGTTGCTGCTTCGGGCCATCGTCTTCAGGCCAAGCTAGGGAAGCCCTCCATCTGCAGCCTTTCTCCAGGCCAACCCCATGCAACCAGAACGGACCATGGCTTGTTCGGGCCTTCGCCCATTGACCTCGACATTAAACACTTCTGCGCAACAATGTCTCTTGACTTAGCCCCGTCCGCGGCATCCGTATGTGAGGGAGCTTGACAGCAAAGCCGCGTCGGAACCCTCTTAGTCCTGAAATCCGTGACAACTGCTTGCAATCGCGAGCGCTTTCTCAAGCCCAATCTTCCATTCGAGAAGACGCACTTGTCATCGACTCGCACCGACACTCTCTGACAATCACGTCAACCAAACAATCAAACAAGCTGATGGGCGTTGGGGGCTGTTGCTGGCTCGTGCTCACAGTCCCTTGTACCTAGATGGATACTCGGGAAATAATGCTCTCCTTTGTCGAGTCGTCAACTGCCCAGTGCCCCATGGCTGGAGTTGTGCCTGGAGCCATCCTTTGCCATCCACCGACAATGTAATCTTCCCTATCCCTCGCCCTGGTCGCCTAGACTCGCTTCCTCGGCCCTTCTCCCATCATCTATCACCTTTCGCAACTCAAATTCCATTTTCGCTTGCTGACTTCTGGGGAGTCCCTGATGGAAGCAACATGCATTGACATGCTATTGAAGTGCCTGTATCCGGGGTTAGGCAGGCCATCGCCTAGCCTCAATCGAGCAATCGAGGCGCCATTGAGGAGATACAGGCGGTTGATGCTGAAAATCGTCAGACTCGACCGCCTTATGCCGTAGACACCCCAGACGCCAATTTGCCGCGAGTCACCTGAGCCCTACTCTCTTTGCTAATTACCCGGCTGCCAGCCTTTTCCCTTTGCGCCAAAGATCCTCCCTCGTCAATCTTACAACTACTAGCTGGTCATCATCAAAGAACCCCATCCTCATCTCAAGGAAGGCCTAGCAGCCTGAGGCTCTCTGGACATTGATAATGCTCTGTCTGGTCCCAACATTTCAACACAACCTCCTAACCCAGCCATGATGCTCTCCAAAACTAGCCGATCCATCGCCGGCTGGTGCCCGCCAAGCCAACGCCTTCCGTAAGCTTTAGGCCTTGGCAAGATGCCGGAAAGACCGTTCATCTAGGCGGTTGTAGTAACTTTGCCTACTTGCTATATCTCTTGTTGTTTATACATTTCTGGTGACAGAGGGCGTGAATGCCTAGCCACTTTCGCCATTGCTTCTCGTAGTTCCATAAAATGAACATCACTTCCACCCACCTGTTTGCAGATCCCGATCATATCACCGACTAATGAGCTCCCATGGGGGCATGGAGGGACGAACAAGGCTTAATTGGGCCGTGATGGACAGGGGCCATGGCTGCCAAAAGTTTCAGCCTCTCCTCGCTGAACCCCAACTAGCCGGTTGCCGAACCTAGACTTGCGCGCACGACGAATGCACCAATGAAAGGGAGACAAGCACTGCTACATAAAGTGCAGTCAGGTCGCCAACATTCGTTACATTCCGTATCGCAATTATGAACGTATGCGAAAACCCTCTAATTCACAGCACCTAGTAACATTTTCTTCGTAGTCATTTGCTCTCGTATTCTGCTAATTTTCTGATCTGGCGGCCATTTTTAATGGGACCAGGTCCAGGGCTTAACCCAGAACAACATTAAGCAAATGAAGCCAAGCAAGCCCTAGGGTCCTTGTGATAGCCTACCAATTCGGAAGGCAATAACACGAGCGCCAACCGCGCACTCAAGATTTTTTTTTTTTTTTTTAAGCTTCTATCTCACCCACAGGCTTGTCCTGATGCGCAAGGGACATCTACGTGACCCTGCGAACCGTATACATCGCTCCATTTCCGTGCCGATCGTAACACGTTGAGCTCCATAGAGCCTTCAGCAGTTATGGCCTCTAGCTTCTCTTCAACTTTGATCAACTCTTCTCGCCCAGCTAGCCCCAATGCAGTGCTGGAGCCTACGGTGCGCAGGAACCACCACACTGACTCGTTCGTCCATTGCAAAGACTCGACCAGCTCCAATGTTTCCTTAAACACTGACAAAAATGTTTCGTCATTATTCTTGCGTTGGGTTTCCTCCAAGAGATGAGCAAGAAATGACCATCCGGAGATGTCGATGTGATGTCTGAATGCCCACTTCTTCACACTATGAATGAGTGACACCAGCCCATCATGTTCGGAAGGAGTCAGGAAAGCCTTCGCCAACCACCGCGCGTGAGTCCATGCGTAGTAGTTGCGTGGGTGTCTCTCCCCAGCTATCATGACGATTGCCTCGACATCTTGTTGGACCGCGACAGCGAGCCCAGCTTCGCGAAATTGCTGTAACAGCCAGCGCCGATGGCTCCACAACGTCGGCGACTTCGTGTGCCGATGAAGTCGACTAGTGAGCAGGCTGTCGACGAACCACTTCTCTTGTGTCAATGCCGATGCCACGTCGCCTTCTGAAGATAGCTCTTTCCGGAGAAGGCGTTTCCTCGTGTTGGCGGCTGTGAGATGCTCAGGGTCCATGAGGAGTAGAACACTCGTAGCTGAGCGCAACTTGTCGGCCTGCATGGAACCGTCAGTGAGGTGTTTCTGAAGAATTTGACGGGCGACGAGAAAAGCCTGGACGAGGCGGAGCTTGTGAACGGCAACTGCATTACCGTCTCGCAGAAACGTTTCGTCCGGCCCGAGAGGGTGGCTGCGACCTAGTATCTCGATCTCGAGAAGGTACTCATCCCTTCGCTTTTCAAATAGCCCGGCTATATCATCGAAGATCTTCTCATGGTCACCTTGCTTCAAGGCCGCAATAACATGCTTGTCTAGTGCTCTCGACATTGCAGAAGTGTTGGTTGATAGACAGCGGTTTTGATTTAAGGCATGCCTGAGAATCACCCAACGAAGGATAACAGCAACACTCAAATGACAGCACTGTGGAGGTGCAGTTGAGCCACGAATTATGTTTATGCTGATCCAACGTTGAGGCCGTTGGGAGATGTCGAGAACAGAGGTAAAGATGATTGGCTCATTTTGTGGGTGAGGCGTTCCGTGGCTCGGGTCCCCGCTAAAGATGCAATTCGCGGGGCTATGACATAGGGACCACGTTTTCCTCCCGATAGAGGGTTTCTATCGGAGTTGTCACACACCGTTTGCACGACAAACCGCCCAGCCTCGCCCAAGCCATCACACAGCGCAGCATGCGCCGATAAGCACCGACAACTTACGAAATTCCGACTTCCAAGGGCGCCCACCGACAAAATGCCCTCTCTACTTGTCGTCATCTTCGTCCTGGAGGTGTTCTCCCATATGATCAACACCATCGGAGCTGCCACCATCAACAATTTGGTGCGTTCCCCCCCATATTTCCCTACTCTTCCTTTTAACGGACTGCACTGGTCACAGATGTATCGCGTATGACTAACGACCTAGTAGCTCTGGACGTTGCTCAACTACCTCCCTGTTTCGACCTCCAACGCAGCGAAGCAGCACCGGCAATTACAGGCCGAATTCCTGAAAGCGCGGAAACAGCTGAATGCGACAAGCAGCCAAGACGAGTTTGCCAAGTGGGCGAAGCTGCGTCGCACCCATGACAAACTGCTGGACGAGCTTGAGAAGAGCAGTGCGTGGCCCTTGTCAAGATACCCAATGTGTGATACGGAGAGATGCTGACGCCAATATTGCTACAGAGAAATCCCAAGAGGCAGCGAGATCTAAGTTCGACACCTACCTGACGGGCTTCCGACTTCTCGTCACCAAGGTTCCTCAATACGGCCTGCCATTCTGGTACTCCAAGGAGCCTATGTTCTGGCTCCCATACGGATGGTTCCCATACTACGCGGAATGGCTCATGTCCTTCCCCAAAGCACCGATGGGCAGCGTCAGCATTGTGTCCTGGCAGCTCGCATGCAACGGCATGGTCACCCTCGTCACTGAACTCATCACCTCGGTCTTTGGACTTGTGCTGAAGGCCCAACAGAGCAAGACAAAGGCTAAGGTGTCTGCGGGAGCAGCTAGAACTAAGCCTGAGGCTCCTGCTTCAACGGAGAAGGAAAAGAAGGAACTTTAACGGATTCTCGCATGCCTCGCTTTGATCGAGTAGGCAGAAGTAATTCATAAACAGCTCTAAACAAAATAAAGTAAAACTTCTTTAAAACCAAACTCATTACGGTCATGGGATGTATCTCTTTGAAATTTGACGCAAAGTTCTTAATGGCAAACGCTAAGACTTTGTAACACGACGGAGAATAACCCTTGGCAGGGTATTTGGGGTTTGCTCTAGGCGTCATATTGACTTTGAATGACCATTGATGTCCTTGCGGACCGCCAACAAAGCTTCGAAAGCGCCATCACTACATACTCAATGCTAGATGTTAGTAGAGCCGATATACTGAAGATCGTGACCCTTTGGCCATTGCTGCTGACAGTGCTAGCAGTTACAGTTGAAATGCATAGATCCATTCCAAGAAACAATCTACCGCAGAGTGACTTCAAAATAAGAAGTCCTGCTGCAAAGCAGTTCGTAGCAGAGGGAAAAGCTTGTGGTTGCGCTTGTGCGTTGATGTTGAAGGAAGGATTGGAAAGAATTTGCGTGTGGATAGAACGCGCCAAAAATATGTCTTTGGAACGGTGCACCGCCACGACCCACTTACAGGTCGCGCCACACGGACCTGGGATCATCGGATTAATACCTTACCCGCAACACCGACTCAGCCCCTTCTTGGAGGCAACGACATCAACTTGGCAGCTCTGTGTTTAGTTCACGGAATCGTCAAGCTTGGACATCACCACCCACGTACGGCTTCGGAGCTCCCGCCACACATCAAGATGGCTCCGGCACAGGATACCATGTTTCGCTCTGCGAACATGAGTATGGTGCAGTTGTACATATCCAATGAAATAGGTCGCGAGGTTGTCACAGCACTTGGAGAGCTTGGTCTCCTCCAGTTCCGAGATGTATGCCGTCAAAATCCCCTGCCATCTCGATTTTAATGTGGCCATCAAAGCTAATCATCACATTCGGATGCAGCTCAATGGCGAAGTCAGCGCTTTTCAACGTACCTTTACTCAGGAGATTCGAAGGCTCGACAATGTCGAACGCCAGCTGCGTACGTCATCAATTTTAGCCGCGCGCGGTACCAACGAATACGAAACAGAAGGTTGGGCTAACATTTGCCATCAGGATTTTTCTACACTCAAATGGAGAAGGCCGGAATTCCTCTCCGAAAGTTCGATGTCGACGCGGAGAGACTCGCTAATCCCTCCACTTCGGAGATTGACGAGCTTGCTGAGCGCAGCCAGAGCCTGGAGCAGCGCGTCTTCCAACTCAACGACAGTTACGAGACCTTAAAAAGACGCGAAGTTGAGCTCACTGAATGGCGTTGGGTTCTTCGCGAGGCTGGTGGCTTCTTTGACAGGGCCCACGGCAACGTTGAGGAAATCCGTGCGTCTACCGACAACGACGATGCCCCCCTCTTGCAGGACGTTGAACAGCACAACTCGGCCCCCGATGTTGATCGCTCGTTCTCCGGCATGAACATTGGCTTTGTCGCCGGCGTGATCAACCGCGACCGCGTCGCCTCATTTGAGCGCATTCTCTGGAGGACACTGCGTGGAAACTTGTACATGAACCAGTCTGAGATTCCCGAGCCGCTTGTTGATCCCACCAACAACGAGGAGATTCACAAAAACGTCTTTGTCATCTTTGCCCACGGCAAGGAGATTCTGGCCAAGATTCGCAGGATTTCTGAGTCTATGGGTGCCGAGGTCTACAACGTCGATGAGAACAGCGATCTCCGTCGTGACCAGATCCACGAGGTCAACGCCCGCCTCAATGATGTCCAGAACGTCCTGCGCAACACACAGCAGACCCTGAACGCTGAGCTCACTCAGATTTCCCAGGCTCTGTCCGCTTGGATGGTCCTAGTTACGAAGGAGAAGGCTGTTTATAACACACTCAATCTCTTCTCGTACGACCGCGCTCGTCGCACACTCATTGCTGAGGGTTGGTGTCCGACCAACGATCTGCCGAGAATTCGATCGACACTGCAAGATGTTACCAACCGTGCAGGCTTGTCTGTTCCTTCCATTATCAACGAGATTCGAACCAACAAGACTCCTCCGACTTACATCAAGACCAACAAGTTTACCGAGGCCTTCCAGACTATTGTTAACGCCTACGGTACGCCCACCTATCAGGAAGTTAACCCGGCTCTTCCAGTCATCGTTACCTTCCCATTCCTCTTTGCGGTCATGTTTGGTGACTTGGGACACGCCATTATCATGACGCTTGCCGCCGTCGCCATGATCTACTGGGAGAAGCCTCTGAAGAAGGTTACCTTCGAGCTGTTCGCAATGATGTTCTATGGAAGATACATTGCCCTTGTCATGGGTCTTTTCTCTATCTTTACCGGTCTCATCTACAATGATATCTTCTCCAAGTCCATGACCTTGTTCGACAGTGCCTGGGAGTGGGATGTCGGCAACGATTACAAGGATGCCAGAACGCTTGTCGGCAAGCTCAACGACAAGGGCTACCGCTACCCTTTTGGTCTCGACTGGAGATGGCATGGAACTGACAACGACCTTCTTTTCAGCAACAGTTACAAGATGAAGATGAGTATCGTTCTGGGTTGGGCCCATATGACTTACTCATTGATCTTCTCCTATGTCAACGCCAAGCACTTCAAGAAGAGGGTCGACATCTGGGGAAACTTCGTTCCCGGCATGATCTTCTTCCAGTCTATTTTCGGCTACCTAGTGCTTTGCATTATCTACAAGTGGAGCGTCAACTGGTACGACCCATCGGTCAAGGAGGCCCCTCCCGGATTGTTGAACATGTTGATCTACATGTTCTTGTCACCCGGTTCTACCCCTGAGAAGTTGTACAACGGACAGGGAACTATTCAAGTCATTCTTTTGCTCCTTGCTTTCGCTCAAGTTCCGGTTCTTCTGTTCTTGAAACCTTTCTGGCTTCGCTGGGAGCACAATCACGCTCGTGCCAAGGGTTATAGGGGTATTGGCGAGAGTTCTCGCGTTAGTGCTCTTGATGGCGATGACGATGATGAGGCACAGCCACTCAACGGCCGCCCCAGCTTCGAGTCGGACGGTGAGGGCGTAGCAATGATTACGCAGGATCTACATGGAGATGAAGGGCACGAGGAGTTTGAGTTCAGCGAAGTCATGATTCACCAAGTCATTCACACTATTGGTAAGATCTTCGCCCTAGGCTGTCCAGCAAATAATACTAACCCTACAACTAGAATTCTGCTTGAACTGTGTTTCCCATACAGCTTCCTACCTCCGTCTTTGGGCCTTGTCGCTTGCTCATCAGCAACTCAGTGTTGTTCTCTGGAACATGACGCTCAACAACGTTATCTCCATGACTGGTGTCATTGGTGTCATTGCTACCGTCATTGGGTTCTACTTATGGTTCTTCCTCAGTAAGCTGCTCCATCTGTTCTCTTATGCGCTTCTACTAACATGGCCTACAGCTATCGCCATTCTGGTCCTCATGGAGGGTACCAGTGCCATGTTGCACTCTCTCAGATTGGCCTGGGTCGAATCCTTCTCCAAGTTCGCCGAGTTTGCCGGCTGGCCGTTCGCCCCCTTTTCGTTCAACACTTTGTTAGAAGAGACCGAGGAGCTGAAGGAGTACCTAGGTTAACTCCTACCGGTCTAAGTTCTGTGAGGTTCGCTATATTGCATTTTGATTTTTCATTGTAACCTTAGTCCCACTGTATCATAGCTCAATGCACTAGAGCATTTAGCGTATCTAAGCTTCAGGTGCCATCGTAGACTTGTGACTATATTACACGACCAACGAGAACGCTTTTGTGAGGAGAACCACATCCCTGTAGAAAAAAACCTTTATCTTATCCCCATAGAGGAGCTGTCACCTCAGCGGCATGCTCACATACGCGTCGCACACGGTCTGCGAACGCCTTGTGGCTGCACTCAACCTCTAGGTCCTCAAGCCAAACCACGGCTTCCATCTTGTCCACCTTAACACGCACACCAGGCACAGGAATGCCAATCTTGTGCAACCGCTCAATCTCAGCATTGCGTCGCGCCTCCAGCATCTTCTCCCGTTCCGCCTGGTCACCCTCTTGGGAGACGTCCATTGATTGGTCGTCTCCGCCTTCCGTCTTGATCGCTTTAGATTGGGAGTTGGCGTCTCCGTCCTCGGGCAAGGGAGGGAGGCGCGGCTCAGCGACGGGATTGACGTTGTCCGCACCGAACTGGGCCTCGAGGAACATGAGGAACCGTTCGAGACGGTCTGCGGGCGAAACATTTGCGTGAGGGTTCTTGGGCAATGGAGGGGGGCTATGTGAGTGTGAGTGCGAGTTTCCGGAGCCTACAAGGTAAGTCAGTGATGTTATTACCAAGAGCAAAGAGATAATCGAGACTTACGTTTGACTGCTGCGGGACTGCTTTCGATAGAAAAGAGACACGCCATAACGGCGTCGGCGATGCCGTCGTTGAGCATGTTACCCTCCCACTCCAGCTCCACCTCGCCATCGCTACGGTACCGCACCGCAACGCAGCCCATTACGAGGTACGCCGCGATTAAGTGGGCGACCTCCTCGTCAGCCTCTTCCTTCTGTAGCTCGCCGTCTTCCATCTCGGTGTCGTTACTTTCACCGTTGGTGACTGAGTCTTTGTGTGCTGGGTGGCCCTTGCGCATCTCAGGCAATTCTTCCACGCTTCCAAACACACCTTCCAAACCCCAGCGGACGAGATCGATACCAGCGGCCGTAAGACGGAGGCGCTGCTTGCAGGTGATGGTTGTGGTATTAAGACCCGCATACTCGCGAAGGTCCTCGGGCGCCATGAGGGACAACTTGAAGTCGTTCTGGACGAGGACACCCGTGACGAGCTGTTGGTTTTGTGGGGTGGCAGGGGTTAAAGAGGTAGGCGGAGGAATAGTAGCAAGCTTTCCAACGACCTTGGCCGTCTTGTCCTGCTTGAAGGGGATGCGGAGCTCTTCGCAGTTTTTGGGGCTAAATACTTTGACCTTTGTCGTCTTGCCGGCGTTGAGGGAGAGGAGTTTGGATTTGAGACGCATCATATTGTGCTGCTCGCCATGGACGAGAATCACAACCGGGGCCGCGACTTCTTCGATGAACTCACGATTCTCAGTGCCGTCGACGTGCGCGGCGAACGAGTACTCTGCCACACTGCACCGGCGCGGGAGGAAGACCTTTTCACTTTCTCCGCCAGGAGCACGACGAGCACCAGCCGTAGTTCTGCTCATGACGGCCTGGATTTGATCGGGCTCCTGCATGATTTGTTTCGCCATTGTACCCTCGACGCTGTAACCGGTAATGATGACTCCGTTCTTCTCGTTGGGCGCCCACCGCTCCAACAGTTCACGGCTGACACCGTTCTGCAACATACCTGGACTAGCGAGCATGACGCAGCCGCCCACGTCGTCGAAGCGGTCAAGGTTCTTGAGAGAGCGGATGTACTTGAAGTCCCATGGTCCTCCCTTTCCGGAGCCATCGCCGGATGCCTCGGCTTCCGCCATACGCTCGCGGAAGAGGCGCTTGATGTTGTCGTTCATAGCACCCACGTACGTCTGGTAGACAACCATACATTTTCGGGCCAAATTACTGGCGTAGTAGATAGGGTACTTTTGGTACTCTGGATGCTTGCCCCAGTACTCGTCGAGAATGAGAAGAATTTCCTGGGCACGACCGAGGGCAAAGGCGGGCATCAGCACGCGACCCCCACGGTTAAGAATTCCCGTGATTGATTTCATGAGGGCCTGTTCTCGTTCAAGGCGAGGAACGTGGGAGGCGATACCATAGGTAGATTCTGTGATGAGAACGTCAATCTTGACGCCCTTCGGAACTTCCGCAGAGACCAAGTGTCTGTCCTGTTCACGGGAGTAGTCTCCTGTGAAGAAAATCTTGAGACCAGCAATCTCGATCAGAAACATGGCAGCGCCGAGCACATGGCCGGCTGGATAAGGGGTAATTCGAATAGAGGATATGGTGTGTGTCGTGTGATAGTCGATAGCCTCGATCTGGGGAAATGTGTTGAGATGGTCTGCCTCTGTGTACACTGGCTGTGAGGTCGGGTTGGAGGAAGTGTTTCCAATACGGATACTGTCCTGGATGAGCCACTTGTAGATGGCCTTGGTAGGATGGGTCATGAAAACACGTCCTCTAAAGTTGGTCTTTGACAAGACATATGGTAATGATGCCGCATGGTCGACGTGGAAACTATCCTCTATTAGTGCCTTGACCAAGATATGTATACACAGGCGCTCCTAAGAGCTATCACGACACCAAGGATGGCAAGGCAAGGCAGGTGGAAAAGAAGTTTGTATTGATTCTGTGTACAAAGATGAAATAGCATAGAGATGTAGCAAGAGGCTCCATCAGGGTACCATCGTTACCGACGCTGTCCCGAGCCTAGGCATGATCCCGTAACGTTCCAAGTCGTTCACCGCCTTGCCCTGTGATCCAACAGCATAGAGGGAAGGGGGGGCTTACTGGCTGATCAGAAGAACGTCGACCGTGCTGAGGTCGAAGTCGTCGAAGAATGGCAGTGCCGCGAGGCCATCGTATGCGGGATGCTGACCGGCATCAAGCTGCGGGGCAAGCGTTAGCGTTCTATCTGTCCAGTGATAGGATATGTCCGTACCATGACCGTCTTTCCCTTGTACTGAATAATGTGACACGACCGACCGACTTCGTTACCTCCTCCGAGACACAAGAACATCAGCTCATCAGAGGGGTCCACTGGCTCATCAGAAACAGTGGCCGCCATGGCCGATGCCTTCCGTTTGGCGGCCATTGTGATTATCGGGGGACGGATATAGCGGTCCGGCCGTCAATTCGAAGGTTACCACACCAGCTGCTGGTGGCTTTCACTGGAACGTTAGTTCATTCGCGATGGGTCAAGCAGTCGCGGGCGTGCGATGGATTGTCGTTGAAGACTTTCTCCCGCGACAAAGTGACAGATATTAAGGTTGCGGAGCACACAAAATAAGGGAGTGACGCGCAGTAGCCAGCCGTCGCGTGAAAAGTTGGAGGCGACAGAGGTACCTGGCGGCCGACCATGGCTCAGACTAAGCGCTCGGGCCATGCTACAAAACAGCGAAGGAGGCTGAAGTATCACGTGACTTTAAATTTACGCGGTCTCCAGGTCTTTCTGGCGACAGCTCCTTCTTCCACATATTACTAAACCCGTCACGCCCATCATCATTCTTCATCCACCCGTTCAGGACATCCCGTTGACCCCAAAATCAAGCTCCAGCTGTTTCGAAGATCCGATAGATCGACGCGAATTTGAATATTAACTATTCCGGAAGTACTACGACACGTCAGATGGGCAGAGTCGCGTGAGGATTGCCAGGCTGTTCGGCCTGCTGAGCTACCAGAGCGGCTTCTGAACAACATCTTGTCTCGACCATATTTTATCTCGGGCTTTTGTTTAAATAACTGCAAATATGGCGCAACCTCAACCGCAGATGCCGCAGAGGGCATTCTCCCCTCCGCAGCCTTCTCCTTCTCCCGCCGCGACGCAGCCGGGCTTTGCGCTGCCTCCAAACAAACGACCGCGGCTTTCACCTGGCGCAACACCGCAACCCGAATCACCATACTCAACATCGCCATACGCGGCAAGCCCGGGTGGCCCCGTCACTCCCTCCACCGCCGCGACTTCTGCTGCTTCTCCGATTTATCCCAGTGCTCCCCAACATCAACAACAACAGCAGCAGCAGCCACAGCAGCAGCCGCAACAACAGCCGCAACAACAGCAACAACCTGCGACACCTACCTACGCTACACCATACACAAACGGCAACACCACTCCTGCCTTGGCCTTGCCTGAGCAGCGGCCTACTCCCCCGCCTCAGGTCTCGACTCCACAACCGCCGGCGCCGCCTACATTACCGTACACTAATGCGACCTTGGCTCTGGGTAACACTGCGCCAGGCACGCCCATCATGCAGCAACCTTCTCCTACCCCCGGCGTCATGGGACCACCTTCTCGACCTCCAGATCGTCCGCAGAAAGAATACGAGTATGACGTAACAGATTCGCTTGCTGGAACCGGCATCGATCTGCGCGCCGAAGAGCAGTATCTTTCCGAACTATATATTCCTGACGGTCAGAGAACTGGTTATCCGCCGTATCCGGCAGGAAACAAAGGGAGCTTTTATGGAGCGGGCCCTGCGAACCAGCCGGCTCAACCTGCAGGCACCGACACGCAGAATGCGCTCGTGGCGCAGCAAGCGGAAAAGGCATGGCAGGAGTCCGCAAAGCGACTGGCGCAGACAAGGACTATGGAGCTCAATAACGCTTTCCTTCAAGTTCCGGTTGTCTTCCGAAAGGCAGAGAAGTTTGCCAAGGAGCAGGGTCTGTCGCTGAACTTGGAACTCAAGAACAACAATCAGCCTATGGGGCGGATGCGGCTGCCCGAAGAGTTTCCTCAGCCAACGGTCACAGTTGGTGTCAAGACTGGTCCTGACTCCACAATGGTGACAACTAGTGGAACCTGGATCCCCCAAGAAGCGTTCCTGGTAGACCAGTTGGCTCTTCTCTCACTGGCTACCAAGCAGCGACTGAGGGCGCTCGTAGAGGATTCTAACAGAGTTGCCAAGATCCGACAGACTTCATCTCATGGAGAAGTCCCCGAGGAGTGGCAGGTAGCTGCGGCACCCCTGAAAAGTGCTTTGGAGAGTCAAGAGGATGCGACGCAGCAGACAGGGACCGAGGATGGCTCCAGTCCTCGCCCTCACAAACGTAGGTTACCTTGTAGACTGTTCTTTGCCTTCGATACTAACTTGCAGTTCCAGGTAACCTCGAGGATGCCAGCTCTAGTCAACCTAGCAAGGTGCAGAAGATTGCGGCTACCAATACCATGAGCCACACAGTCAGAGAAGTAGGCAAGGTTGAACGAGATTGGGAGGAGCGAAGACTGCGGCGACGTAATGCTCGGAAAGACGGCACTGCGGAAGCCGGCTCAACAACGTCTCGCGCAGGCTCAGTTGCGCCTGGGACTCCTGGTGGCTCTGCGCCAGATTCGGAGAAGGCCATCTCCAAGAAGGAACAGAAGAAACTCGATGCTGTCAAGAAAGCAGAGGCTAGTAGCCATGCGAATCAGAACATCACGAGTAGCATGTTCGTAGGCATGCCCAAGACGGGTTCACTGTTCGGCAAGAAGAAGGGAGGCAAATCTTACTCGTGGATGACGGGTGGTGCAAGCGGTGCTAGTACACCGAGGCTTGGTACACCTGGAAAGCCGGGTGGCGCAGCAACTTCGGGTCCACCGCCCCCGGCCAATCATGCCCTCACAGTTGAAGGTAGAGCTCGACTTGGCAATTGGAGAGAAGACAAGGAGAAAGGCAAGAACATCCAGCTGCGCGACTGGGTTACAGCCCTGGAAGGCGACGAGATTGAACTGAGGGCCATTCAAACAGCTTATGACAAGATGGACACGTCTGAGCCCAAGTAGGGTTTGAGAGAACTTAGACGTGAGGAGCGTCGGCGTGAGGAGATTTCCAGCATTTCTTGATGCTGTCAAAAAAACATGTTGTGTCCGCTGGAGGAACTATACCTCCGTGTTGTATTTTTATCCCTTTAGCATGGCGTTACGCACACAGCATGGTTCGGGGGGCGGTCGGTTGCATAGCTCTCGGAAGAAAAGGCAACGCCAACCAGCTGGGGTCACGGGAACGCAGAGAAAGCAGGTCTGGGAGCGCAGACAGGCAGGGCTTACTTTACCTTAATGGCCTGTTAGGCAAACAGCGAAGCTCCAGATAATGGGTCAATCTCAAGAAAGAGATTATCAAACTTAGCCAAATATCAACCGCTTCCTGAGAAGTGTCCCGCCTTGGTTTGTGAGATGCCAAGCAATGCCAGTAGTTGACTACGCTTGATGCCGATCAAGTCGGAGTCGTACGTAAAGATATGTCAGAGTTGCCCTGGTATTTTTGTCCAAGGCTTCAGTATCCAGCCTGTAGTATCAAAGACATGGGCACAATGTCTGCCAGTTATTCCAGCACACAGAGGGATTTGTCACAAGGCTGCTGGTGCGATTTGGTGCCACGCGAGCGACCTTTGTTATTACTGAGGATACTCTGCCTCGTCTCAACGCCATAGTGTTCTGGTGGCCGCCTTTTTAACATAACGCATTTTTTAGGGTGAGTTCAACATCGATGACGAGCAAGATCGATGAAGATGGTGAAACTGAGCACTCAAATTGTAGTGAACGAGAAATCGTCGGCATGAACAGATTAATGAGACATATTGACACAGGCGAGCTAACAAAACAGAGACAAGGCATAACTGCTGTGTTCTTTTTCTTCTACACGTAGGTAAACGGCCACTGCAGATTCACTCAAGAGCCACGAATGGCCCGCAATTCCGCTTAGCTACGATCGACCTTACTGACGATACCGGACTCTCCGAGCCCAAGCACCCCATCATACAGCTTTGTAGTATAGACAAGCGATAAGATATCTTGATACGGACGGATGTTCTTCGACGATCTTCTACCGTTTGACCTTGGATGGGTGGGGTTCGGTAGTTGCCAATACTACGACGCTTAGAAGAAAAACTATCAAGTATGCTTGTATTTCGAGCGGTCCCTGTCACCCGCAATCTCTTACTTCACATCATATCTATTTTAGACTCAGTATTCATTTGACAAATAACTTTGAAAAACTGTTAGAGGCCGGAGATGGCACATCCGACCAGCTAAGGCGCTGACACAATATGCATGGGATTTCATTTCGATCAATAGCGTGCTCACCTTCGCACTCGTGCGCTGGGAGCATTCCGCCAATATGGTACGCAGCTGCATTTTGATCTGCGGGCTTTTGCGGATTTCCGTTTTTGCCTTCTCCGTCTTTGTCATGTTGCGGGCGAGCCATCCTTCTTTCAGTTAACCCTGACCATGAGGGGTCATGCCCTCGTCAAGGAAGCGGAGAGGATGTGGACTCAATGCAATTGTCAAATGGTTTGTTCAAGTCTCCCTTTCCAACGGGAGCAGCTTCTGGGACGTTATGGGCGCCAGAAGGGTACAGTCTGTCTTCACTCACACACCAGTTGGCTAGTCCACAAAACTAGACCTGGAACAAGGGGAACGTGATTGGATTCACAGCTGGCTTCGGCAGGCTTTTGGCGGCCTTTTTTGCCTGATGGCGAGGTTTTTTAGTTTCGACATCCATGATGCTAACATGGGTGCTTGTCAACGTGTATGCATGACGAATCGTTGCTGACATCATGCTCGTGCAGCTGGCTGACTACGGGATTCATGGGACTTACTGGAAGTGTACGATGAGGTTTTATCGCTTCTGCTCTAAGAAAACTGAGACTCATATTGCTCTAAAATAATCTCTATATATCTTGGAAAAGCCCGACTGTTTCTGCCAGTTCAAACAACCTCTCTCATCTTCTTAACGAAGCTATTATACCTTTTCTCTAAGTAACTGCACGTATAAGCAATAATCTAATAACAACAAAATGGTAAATTTAATGTCAAAAACTCTCCCAGTGGCATTCGCGGCTTTGGCAGCGGCACGAGTATGCCATGACCTCACCATCGAGGTCGAAATCTCAGCGCGGAACGGCGTCTTCAACATCTCAACGCCCACAACAAACATAGATGCAACCAACTTCCTACTAGGCCTCTCAAAACAGGGGAGCAATTTTACCGCTCAACATTTGCAGGATGTAAAACTACCTTTAACTATAAATCCCCGTCTGTCAAGCACCACTAACACGTCCTAGTACGCCACAGTCGGAGGCACATATCAACTCGCTTCAACCTACTGCGAGCCCGACTCCGGTCCTGGCCGCGTGCTTCAAATTCTAACCCATGGCATCGGCTTCGACCGCACGTATTGGGATTTTCCCGCCAACAACTACAACTACAGCTATGTCGGCCCTGCGGTCGACTACTACGGTTACTCGACGCTGACCTGGGACCGCCTCGGCATCGCGCAGTCCTCGCACGGGGAACCAGTCAATGAAATCCAGGCCTGGTTAGAAGTAGCCGCATTGAAAGCGCTTACGGACCAAGTTCGCGCCAAGGCCGTTCCAGGACTGAAGGGCCACCAGTTCGAGAAAGTGGTGCACGTCGGGCACTCTTTCGGGTCAGCACACACGTATGCGCTGACGGCAAAATACCCTGACGTCTCGGACGGCATCATCTTGACCGGCTTCTCACAGAACGGCTCCTTCTTCGCCGACTTTTTGCTCGGAGGCGCGTTTATCCAGGCCAACCAGGTTCCCGCTTTGAGTAATTATCCCAAGGGGTACTTTGCGCCCGCGTATGAAGGCGGGGCACACGTCAACTTCTTTGCGCCGGACGACTTTGACCCTGCGATCTTGACGGCGGCTTACCAGACGGGCAAGCCGGTCACGGTCGGGGAGCTGTTTACTATTGGTGGAGAGGCAGGGACGCCGAATACATTCAAAAAGCCCGTCCTTATTATCACCGGAGGTACGCTTAACAAGGCCGCGAGACGCGTGGAAGCACGACTAATGAAATTCGTTTCTTGCAGAACGAGACGTTCCCTTTTGCGGTGGAGACTGCCTTGCAACAGGCCAACCTAGACTGCCTTCGATTCCCGCGGCGTCTGCTCGGTTCTTCAAGAACACCAGAAAATTCGAGACATACATTGTCCCAGGTGCTGGCCACGGTCTGACTCTCGTAAGTCGTGCCCATTAGTATTTGGAGTTGACATGGCTGACCGACGTCAACAGAGCTACTCCCACGCGGAAGTGACTGGGAAGATGTCGGACTTTCTCTACCAGAACGGCTTGGGTTGCAACTAAGTTGCTTAAGAGCCGACTCTCTCAAAGGACATAATGGAATTTAGAAGGCGTGGTAGATATTTCTGCATGATATTTTTTTTGTGTTGACGCCTGTTGCAGTTTTGCTGTGGCACATATTTAGTGAGCAGATAGAAGCGACGTTGTCCATAGCAACCTCAACCATTCATGCATTGCAACTGGAAAATCTCACTCAAAATAGTGAATGCCTCACAGCCTAATTCCACGGCCTTTCGGCGCCGCGGACGTACACTGTCAAAACCGACGGACGCGGATTCAATAGCGCAAAATGTGAATACTTAAGGGATGACGTGAGACACAGGATTGAGGTATGGAATTTCCCCTCTTTCAACAACCACAAAGAAAACAATTTCTCCACCTGCCCTCAGGGTCCCCGAACACCAAATAAACAACTACTACGGCAGAAACGCATCCGCATATCAAATACACACGACGCAAAGATGTTTGAGTGGCAGGACAAGGCGAAGCAGGATGCCGCGCAGCAAACGGACAAGCCGTCGTCACTGCGCGACCTCCTCAATCCGACGCCGATTCCAATCATCATATGCGGCAAGACGGAACAGGTTGGCAGCGGCGTCATTGAGGGCTTGAAGCCAGAATTTGAAGGTGAGTTCGTTCACTCAAACCTTCTTCTCTCAGATGAGAAGACGGAAGTGAGAAGAGATATAGAGAGAGAACGTGAGGGTCAGATGATCAATAATAAAACAGAGGGCTAACCTTGACTAAAGTAATCCACTTCGTTCAATCACCCGATTCCGGAGCGGCAATCATCCCCGCCATCCTCTCCGGCAAAACCCCTCCATCGCACCCGGATTCTAGCAGCATCGGGACCGGAAACTACACCGTGCCCCCCCGCGCCGTCGTCCTGGGCTCCCTGTTCGACGAGGCCGGGTTCACGACGATCAAGAACGCCGTCCTCGCGGACCCGGCGGCCAAGAATATCCTCTGGCTTAGGAACGACACCAGCAAGCCCGGCCCGCCGATCGGCCCAGGCTATCCGGAGTCAGTCATCGCGAGGGTCAGGGAGGCCATGGCGAGATTGGAGAAGGAGGGGAAACTGGATGGCGAGTACGCGGGTGAAGAGTGGTACTAAAGCGAGTACTATTCGGAATTTTTAATTTTTTAATTTTTTTTTTTTTTGCCAGATTTGGAAACAACTTTAGTGTAACATTTCACGTCAAAGAAGAGTCAAGTTCAGCAGCAAGAGTTTATCTGGTTCTGACAGTCCGGCGATGGCGGGGAAGAATGTCGGGATGGCGACAGCATGGTTTACCCCGCTGTAACCCACCAAACAGATAAGCGATAAGACAAGATGTGCCGAAGGCCGGCTTTCATTAACACACACTCAAATCTGCCAAATTCGCATGAAAGATCGTCGACAACAGTTTGCCCTGTAGTCAGTTTTACACCTCTCAGAGAGTTCTTTGTTGCCACGTGGTGTCCCACTGCCTTATCCCGCTCACCACCATCCTCCTAACCCTTACCTCCCGTTTCATCCAAGGACATACCCGGATCTCAGCCTCTTATCTCATCTCATCTTGCCTCCCAATATGGCGATCGCGGTATGGATGCCCAACTCGACCACGTGGGCAGTCACGAACTCTGCTGACGTCTCGGTCCTCAAAAGGCTGTTGGTCAGATCTGCTCTACCGCGTCCTTGTCGCACAACCTTGAGCAGTGCGTGAGACTCGTCGCCAAAGCTGCTGTTGGTGGCGCAAAAGTATGACTGACCCCTCTCACATGTTTTGCTCCAGTCAGACACAAACTTCAGTCTGAAGTTGTGGCTTGCCTTGTCAAACTCACATATAACCTAAGCCAAAGACAGCCACACTTTGTTTTTTAAACTCCAAAAACACACACACACACACACACTTAAACACTCACAGGTCCTCTTCCTCCCCGAAGCCTCGGATTACATCGCCTCGAGCCCTCAGGAATCCCTTTCACTGGCCCTTCCGCAATCACAGTCGCCTTTCGTTCGCGGCCTTCAAGAGGCGGCAAAAGCGCATTCATTGGCAGTCAATGTTGGCATCCACGTACCGGTCCCGGCAACGGAAGCTTCGACGACAGTTACAAAACTACTAAACCGGAGCCTCTGGATCAATGCGGATGGAACCATCAACCATGCCGCAACTTACGACAAGCTCCACCTCTTTGACTACGGTGCCCTCCGCGAGAGCGCAACGGTGCAGTCCGGCACCGCATTGACCGCACCGTTCCCCACCCCGATCGGTCGCGCCGGAAGTCTCATCTGCTTCGATCTCCGCTTTGCGGAGGCCGCCCTCGCCCTCACGCACCCGGGACCCCGCAGCCCTTTTCTCAAGGAGAACGGCGGCGCGGGCGTAGCACAGGTGCTTCTCTATCCCTCCGCCTTCACCATCAAGACAGGCCAGGCGCACTGGGAGACGCTACTTCGGGCGCGTGCTATTGAGACTCAGAGCTGGGTAATCGCCTCGGCGCAGGTCGGCGCGCATAACCCTAAGCGCAGTAGCTACGGACATAGTCTGGTAGTCGACCCGTGGGGCGCCGTGAAACTGGAGCTCGGTGGTGTGGACACGGAAGGTAAAGCGGAGGAGAACGCCGAGGGGGCTATCGGCTTCGTCGACGTGGACTTAGAGCAGTGGGCGACGGTCCGAGAGGGCATGCCGCTGGCCCGACGCACGTGAGTTGTTCATCCCTTTGGACCTTTCACCGCCTTGAGCTTCTATCTCGTGTTCCCTATTGTGAACAGTTTGACCGCCCCCCCCCCCCCCCCCTGAGGAGCCCCCCTCCCCCCGTTATCCCACCGATCTTCCCTTCCTTTCAGCCCCCTGAGCTGTCAATCCCCATCGTGAGGTACCAACTGGATGGTTAGACTGACAAGAAACAAGCGATGTGTACCCTGAAATATAATATCCCCCCTGTGAGCTGTCACATTTCCGATGGCAGGGTCCGGCCGGGTACAAAGCACAGTACAGAAGATGGTCTCCATATAGAGAGGTTCTAGCAAGCCTCACCACTGGGGGGGTTCACCGCGGGGAGGTGTGGTACGGAGCCCAGGGAGTCGGCAGTACCGTAATAAAGGGCAGGTCGCGGAGGGGTCAAGGAGGGACGGAAGGCAGGGGGAGGACCCAATGACTCGGCGCCCCTAGGGGAGCTCTAGAAGGGTTGCAATGTTCTATGGACGGGGCCGGCAAATGAATGAATATCATGAACCCATAGCTGCTCCTCCACCGCTGTGTTTGACAGGGCTGGGAATGTCTACACATCGGTGAGGCCTCACCGAGGCAACGCCAGGAGGTGGTTGACAGTGGAGGCTTAATTGTGCGGTGAAGGAATATTAATCAATTCACCGCTGAGGCTAGACCAGGATCCACGTTGCCAGCTGTTCATCCCACGGTAGTTGCCAGACCGAGCACAAATTTTTCCCAGCGATGCTACCCCGGCGATCCGCCAAAGTCAAGATCCTGGAGCATGTTTCTCCTGCCTCCAGGACTTTCACCATCGCCCTAGCCACCGGGGAATACGAGCCGCCGGCGCTTGAGCGGCAGTCTAAGGCATGATCCGTCTTTGCGGCCGGCACCCTGCAGCGGCGACCGGTGAAGGGGGGATGACCCGTAGTCGAGGGAAAGGACCCAACGGTTTAAAATTGGGGTTTGCGGTGAACCGGGGTGGAGTTTCGGTCGGGGGTGTTTTGAGGAGGCAGGTGAGTTGTTGGTGGGGTTTGGGATTTTGCCCAGACACGGAAGAAGGCGAGAAGAAGGAAAAAGAGGATCCCGCTAGAAGGAAAGTCTGAAAAAGATAATAAAAAAAAAGAGAAATGAAGTAACGTGGTAAATTAGGAAGAGAGACCAAGCGAAAAGAGGCAGATCCACCGCTTCAGTTGCTTCAGCAGGGGGGGGGGTGCGGTCAAGAATGGTACTTTCAGCGGTTGTGGATGTATGTAGCCAGGTGTTCATGTCGAGATTGCGACAGTGGAGATACTACATTGACCGGTAGACTTTCCCAGTGGACGATGCTGAGTTGGAACATGGTAGAAAGTGGGTCTGTGCACCGTGGGAAAAGATGGCGAGAAAAGAAAAAGGACATTGTTCTCATCATGCCCCGGGGACCCGGAAACCATGCCCCGGGATGCGGTATCCGTAAAGGATTGCGGGCCTCCAAAGACATTTGGGAGTGGCCGTCCGCCCTGCGGAACGTCCTCTTGTCGGGGGCCCGGCTTCCCCCTGAACCTGGGCCTGGACCTTGACCTTGACCTTAACCTTGACCTTGACCCTCTGAAAGAAGGAAAGGAAGCCAGAGAGAAAAATTCCAAAACCACAGCCCCGGGAAATTGGAGCGTTTGGAAATGAGGACCTTGCTCGTCTTGGCTGAAGTTGCTTGATTGAGAGCCTCTTTTTCTTTCTTGCCTCCTCATGATCACCAAGGGGGCAAGGGCAAGGGGCCTCGCTCTGGCTCCGTCTCACCGAATAGACCCTAGGTCGCCAAGCACAATGCCGCCAACGGATAGGAGACAGGAATTTTCCCGGGAGGTTGGGGAGAAAAAATCCCAAGGTGAGGCCGGGGTGTGCGGACGCACTGTCCGTCGACCAAAAGATGGGATGAAACGTGGGAAGGATGATCTCTGCTGTCAAATGTCCCGTCCGTTGGACTCTTAGTCTGAAGTCGGGGGTCACCCTCGCTGTTTGGTGTATCTCATGCAATGTAGCTGGCCAGCGGAGGTGGACTCACTCTCAAGGAGGGGGAAATAAAAAGGGGGGGGGGATTACCTCCCTCATCATCCGTAACAACGGGCGCCCAATGTGGGAGGTTGTTGAGAGAGGCGTTGCAGGGCGTGGGATGCCAAACTCTAACGAAGCGCCAGAGATCAGGTCGCAAGCGTGGGGTTCTTGTCTCCTCGACCAGACGTTGTGCTGTGCTGCGTCGGTTGATGGCGTGGTCGGCCACACGATCGGGGGCTCCGGTGAGCTGAGGTGTCGTCAACCTTTCGAAACTGGGCGCTGGCGACTGGACTGGTGGTCCGGAGTTGCTGCCTCTTTTCTCGGCCGGTGCGCGTCGCATAGCCTCATAGCCACGGCTGAGAAGAACGAAGAAGAAATCTGTGACGCGTTTTACTTATGGCGGCAGCTCCGGAGACTGGTGCCAGTGCGCTCCCGTCAAACGGTCGTCTCTGTTTAGTGGGCAGATTTGCCAGATGAAGGTTAGGTTCTGTCAGAGCATCACGACACGATGACATGTTTAGGCTGCTGCCGGAAGGCACAGCCGGAGGCAAAAAGATGTACGGATACCTTGGATCAGATCCCCATTTTTGATAGTCTGGGGAAAGAAGAAGGTGCTGCTGCTGCTGCTGCTGCTGCTGCTGCAGGAGACTCCAACGGGAAGGCGAAGAAGGTACGAAGTACATGACCACTAGAAGTTCCCAAACCAATCAGGCACGTTGACGCACACTGTATCTCTTTCAGTAAAGCGCGTATGTAGGTGGTATCCCTCCCCAAACTGGGAAGAGCAAGTCGACGGGCACGGTTTGCTGCGACGTCGCAAAACAAACCAACAGCTGTGGTTTGGGTCGTTGGTTATGTTTTCGTGTAGTGGACAAACTCGACTCCCCCCCTGGGCATCAGGATCCCGTCACATCTCGCACATCACCTATAGAGCTCCGGCATCAACACAAAACAGACCGAGGCTTCCGCTTGTTATCAGCAAACAACAACAAATTGTTGTATCCGTGGGCGACGACTTGCAGGGGGTTGTCTGCAAGCCACTAAATTGAAGGGTTTCTTGTTGTAAATTTTGAGGTAAACAAGCGAGACCACACAAATCGAGATTCACCCACCAACACAACACCACCAACACGAAAAAAAGGAAAGAAAGGTAGCAAACATCTAAAAAAAAAAAAAAAAAAACAGTTCATCCACCAATAAGATTTACCAAGATGATCATGTATACATGATCGCTCTAACAGTAGAGTTCAACCAAAGTTGCGAACAATGACCTTCAGATGAAAAAGTAATTGCCAGGCAACCTCATTGTTATCCAACCCCCTGTCCTGTTTTATCACCTTGGCACTCGGTATTCGATGGTGTACGCTCAGCTAGCCCAGGTGTTCCATAGATGAGGTGTGCCAAGGTGAAGCCAACCTCACCTCAGTACACCTCGGCTTCACCTTGCGTCAGCTTCAGCTTGAGCTTCAGCTCCTGCTTGCGTTGCTTGCTCGGGGTAAGGTGAAAAAAGATGTGGACCTTTGCATTCACCCGCCACGTGATTGGCCACAGAGATCAGAAACAGCAACCACTGATGGCCCACCGCGGGCCACTCCCGAAGAGGGAAGAAAGAAAGAAAAAAAAAAGAGAAAAAGGTCCCAGCGCTTTGGTTCCCGGGACGCCGCCGCTGCATTAGCGCAATCAAACACCCATCACCCAACGGCAGAAAGCAGCAAGCACTCAGCCGGCTTTACACCACCACCCCCCCTTTTTTTTTCTTCTTTAGCCACCACACCACACACCATCCCTTTCCTGTTCCTGAATCTGGATGGGTGCGTGTGTGTCCGGATAGTAGGTCTAAGTGGCTGAGCCTAACCACTTCCCCCCTTTTTTTTCACGCTCCCGTCGTCCCCTCCCCATTTGTTAGTGTGCCGCTATCTTCAGACCTGTTACGCAATAGCCTGAACGCTTGATTTTGAAATTCAGCTCATTACCGTGCTGTGTCCGATTCGCCCCCAACGAAGTCTAACTTGTGCCCCCTTTCCCGAGCCTAATGTAAGGTAAAATCGTCTAGGCTAAAACGCGTCGACACGGTATCCTTGGAAAGTCGCCGACCGCGTCGTCCTCGCGTAACGACATCTCTGGAAGTCCGCTGTGCCATGATGCCATAGATTACTTACACAGCAGGTCAAAACCATGGGTTTCGTACGAAAACTATCTGCCAAGAGAAGGAGCAACAATAGGAACCTCAATAATGTACAAATCAAAACTTTGGTTGGACGATGTACGCCATGTCCCGGCACCAGGTCTTGTCAACGTCGTACATTCGGACCAGCTGTTGGGCATTCTGATTGGAATATTTGCTTTGCATCTGCCGTCACTTACTACCCAGCCATATATATCCCCATAAGGCCCTTCCCCAACGTCGCATTCATGCGGTCGCTACGCATGGTATTCTTTGCCCGTGACCATGCAGTTGGGCCGTAGCCCGGGGCTCGAAAAAAAAGTTTTGCGACAGTGGGGAGGTAGTAGCAGGAACCTGAGCCATAACGAGGCATCTAGACCGGTTTGTATTCCTGCCGGCCGGAAGCGGGAAAAGAAAAAAAAGAAAAAGAAAAAGGACAAAGCAAAAATGTAAAGAAGCCCAAGCGCTCTTTTTTCGGTCAATATGGGCAGACAAGGATACAAAAAATAGATCCAACGTCACCCTTGATGTTGAGGCCGATGTGAGCCCATGAAGGGCTTGGCGTAGCACCAATCATCATGTAACATTGAAGCAACTTGCTCACGTTCCCATCCTTGCCGTATATGCCATGCCATCCGAACCTCAACCGAGTGTAGTATAGCTTTTTTAAAATTCGTTTTAGCTCTTATGCTTCCCTAGATATCTCTCTCTCGGCACGCGTGTGTGTGTGTTCCCGCATGTACGAATATGCAGTGGCCAAGGCATTCTTGGAAAAAAAAAAAAAAAAAAGCGACATCAAGGCTTACAGCCAACCCATGTCAACCCGTCTTCCCCGGCTGCACGCATGGCCCATATGCACGATCTACGACAATTCCATCAACAAAAGAAGAAGCAAAACCATTGTAACGCCAGAGGCAAGCCTTTCCGCTTTCGAGTGGGGTTTCCCTTTAGGTCGCCTCCTACAGGACGTGGGCCAGAAAAGGAAGGGGAAATAAACAGGATTGACAATGCAGCGCATAAGCGTCGTCTTTTTGGGAAACCTCTGCCCAGATGCTAGCTGAGAAACCGGGCGTGGAAAATCGAGGAATGGGGGGGCCTAAAGGGGGGGTGTAGAGACGGCTGAGGGTGCCACGGCACGGTTCATGTCGATCGTCCAGTTCGCAGCAACGGATGAGGAAAAAGAAATGGTCTCGCTGTCTGACAAGACAAACCACACTTCTCTTAGTCGGGTTCGAGACCGAACCGAGGGATGGGAGAGGCGAGGTAGCGGCAGGAAGGAGGTACTTCCATATCCATCATGGGAGTAAGAGGGGATTGGAGGGGCGAGCCGTCTGCGGCACGTCGCAGTCGTGTCAGTGACCCCGGCTCAGAACCCCAAACTTCTCCCACATCTCCATCTCTCCATCTACCTTACCCTCCTCTCCCGCACTACATCCGCCTCCGGCTCCCGATCCCTCAGAGGTCTCGCCCTCCCTTTACTCCCGGATCACATCTTTCGTACGTACTGCACCGTTGTATAACACACGTCCAGTCGCCGACATCTCTCCCTCCCTCCCTTCGCCGCCCTTCTGCCTGAACTTTTTCCCTCTCCCCCTCCCCCTCCATCAAGTCACTATAGCAAACGTCAACCTGGACGTCGGGGAATGCTACTCTACTGTCGTTTAAACACCCCTGTCTGTCTGAGATGCATCCTGCACACTTACACCAGTCTGACAGATCTGGAATGTTGCTACGTCACAAACAGATGCAAAGGACAAAATCTGAACGGATTAAAATGTGGCGGTTGTCTAGGAATATTGACCAAAGTGATGTAATTAGGGCTAACGTATCCTTTCTCAGTCCAAAGTACTTAAATGTAAAAAAACCGTTTCATGCGATTGGCGCTGTGTAGCTATCTTAGCTCTTGTAGAGGTACTATCCATACAATCTAAAGAGGGCTAAACCCGCGGGGTATCTTCTTTTGTCGATTCCTGAGTCCAGGACCCCCAGTCGTCCCCAACATCCAAACAGACTCGATGTTGAAGGCGTGCTGTGGAGAAAGACTTGGCTGCGAAGCCTCAGGGGGTATCGAATACACTAAGAGAAAACAGACAAGAGTCGCAAAGGGGGAATAATAAAAGTGGTGAAAATTGTAATAGTTCCTTCGTGGCCATTTGTCTTGCTCTAACAAGGTGGGGGAATAAAGTAGTGTAAGTAGGAAAGCGTTGCTGACATGTCCTTGGTGATCTCGCCCTGAAGGAACCGCGAGGTATCCAGTTGAGTGCGTAGAAAACCAAACCAGGGAATACAGAAGGGTAGTTGTTACAAGTAAGAAAAAAAAAAAAAAAAGTCTATATGCGAATCAGTTCTTTTCCCAGCCCGTAGTCCCAGTATTTTTTGTAGCCCATCCCAAATCAAGTTTGCCCACAGAGGGAGCAAGAAAGAAAAAAACAAAACAAAGAACCAATCGCCTTATCCGCACGTTTCTTTTAGCCCGTGTCCAAAATAGCCCCCAAAAAAGAAGAAAAAAATGTCGTCTCACACCCTCAATGACGGTTGAGGCGGAAGCGAGCCATGTGCGTCGAGGGTGGTGGTTGCGTTGTCATGCGTTGCTGCCCGACCAAGCTGTCTGGTGGTAACTCACCGACAGTTTGGAATGGATCCGCCGGGGATGTTGTGCCGTCGCCGGATATCGATTCGTAGAACGCTGAGGGACCCCCAGATGCAGGATGTGAGAGCTGATAAGATGCAGAACCAAAATCCATCCCTTAGGGCAAAGTCGCAAAATAACCCAGATCCGTCTATATTGTAACGCCGTGCCGTTTGTTTTTCACCTCCCAAAAAAACAGCTGGGAGATGGTGGTCCCAGGAAAAAAGAAAAAGGACAAAAATATCGATGCCACATCATGAAAACCGTATCAGCGTTCCCATTTGCCTTGCTGCTGGGAAGCAAGTTGTGGCTCCGAGCCGGTGTGTTCTAGTCTTTGACAGGAATGCGTATTAAAATGGTATATGGTAATGTCGCGAAATCGGCCAGGACGTTGTACAGACGAGGTGGTACAGGTGGAAAAAAAGACCGCCAGTATTAGTAGAGTCGTAGGGATAAGGGTTTGTGTTGTATGACGAAGGAGACGCAACAAAACGGACATAAGGCGTTTTTTTCCTGTCCGGTGCGCGTTTGTTGCCGGCGCGAGAGACCGCGAGGCCTGCGGGCAGAAGGAAGAATCTTGCATTTCATGGTGCTCATGGCACGTCGGTGATGTAGTGTGTTCAAAAGAGAAAAACCGGCGCGAAGCAGATTTATCGAGGCTTGGGGCGAGGAGGGGGCTTGGGCACGCCAGTCGTGTCGTAGGCACCGCGGCCCATGTTGGCGAAACTTGTAAGTTCTCTGACAACCATTGTGGAAGATGTGTGTAAACGGCGAGAGCGCGTGTTAAGGTTATGGATCTGATAATGGAATCGCTTGTTAGCCATGATTATTTTGAATCCTCAGGAAGAAAAACATTTGGGGATCAGGTGTCAACTTTATATAAGCCGAGCATGCTGTGAGGATAGGATTCGCCAGGCCTCACCGCGGTAAGGCCTGGGCAGAAGCGCACAAGGGGTGAAATTGGCTAGTGGATGCTGTTGCTGCAGCTCTGACTCACAATTGAGAAGGTCGTAGTGCGACGTGTTGGAAAGCTGCCGTGAAGACTTTGAGAAATAGGCTTCAGAGCAGCGGATTGGTGAGAGTTGACGGGGGTGAATAGGCGGTGATGATGCAAGGAGGCCTGGGTACGTTGCCGAATTGGGCGTAACCAATACTGCACTGGTATTTGGCAGTTAGGGGAAAAAAAGAAAAAAAGAGGGAGCAGCTGAGGCAAAACAGGCGTAGCAGAGGTAGCGAGGGAGGAATTATCGGCACCGTTGCATGAGGAATGGCTCGAGCAGGACGGGATTCGCGTGGTCGTAGGCGAGAGTTAGTGTTGTAATATTGGCCAAAGTTGTTGCGCAGGTCTCGGAAAGCGCGCTATATGGTGGTGATATTATTTGACTGAGGTCGGGATCGGGTCTTGAAATTAATGGGTTTCTCAGAGGCGATCCTGTTTCTGTTTTCCCTCCTTGTTCTCTCTCCTCTGTTTCGCGCTTGTAGAAAGGCGTAGTCAGGATGGCTTGCTGCAGGTTCTCGCTAAGGAAGCTGGGAAACGGGCAGTTTGCAGGTGGGTCGCGCGAACAGCTTCTTGTGAGGTGTATGGGCGAAAATTGTTAAAGGACTGCGGTGAGAGCTTGCAGGGGAAAAAGGGGGGGCGCTGCAGGCGTGTAAGAGCAGGAGGAGCTGTAGGAAGCAGTCGGTGTGACAGTTTCTTCTGATAGCTGTAGCTGTGGACAACAAGAGGTGTGTATGGAATGACCAGAGCCTGTCGCGATGTGTGAGGGGACGAGGAGACGGGAGGTAGGTGATGAGGATGGTCTTAAGAGTGTGAAGGTGAGGATAGGAATTCAAGAAGAGTGGAAGTAAGAGATGACGGATGGGAGGGAGAGGGTTATGAACTCTTATTTCAGACGCCCGACCGAGAAATGGGAAATTTTTTAATGTACAGTCCCTCAGGTACCTAGGAGCAATGTAATGTCAGGGCGGGAGGGAAGGGAAGGGGGCCATGTAATGTTCCTCAGGTTTGGTTCCTTTTCCAAAAAAAATTAAAGGGTAAAAAAAAAAAAAAAAAAGGGAACCTTAAGGGAGAGGGATGGGGACTGGACTGGGGACTGGGATTTGTGACCAGGGGGAAGACAGCACCCAGCACCAGCTACCAGCAACGGCAGAACCAGCAAGCAAGCCCCCAGGACCACCCTGAGCAGTTGAACGGGCACACCCTACCCCCCCTGGGAGACGGCAAGGCCCCAGGCTCTCAGGCTACGCCCCCTTCATGCTCTTCCAGGGGAGCCGTGGAATTAGCCATGCCAGGCCCATGCCCGCGAGGTACCAGCCCACGCCTTCCCTCATCCTTGCCCCGTCCCATGCCATGCCATGCCATGCCAGGTACCCGTACCGCTTCCCCAAGGAGCCGTCGGGTACCTTGGATACGTACATTTCTTCTTCTTTTCTTCTTACCAGCCCTTGATGAGCTGCGTAGCTCGTAGGCACATTACCACCTCATACAACCGGCAAACCAGGGAAATGGACACACCCATGCGCGCGCGCGCACGCACACACTCTCTTCCTCTCTCCCCCTCTCTCTCTTTCTCTCTTCCTCTCTTTGCTTTCTCTATCTCTCGGGCATATCCTCCAATCTAATCGTTGTACGCGCATTACACTGCATACTGCCCGCATCTTAAGGGGAGCCTTACTACCCAGTGAGGTTGTTGTATACCTGCATCTGCTTCTCACTTTACACGCAGAAGGGGGTTTCCGCAGTACTTTAGGAACCTGTACCAAAAAGAAACTAGAGCCAAGTCGTGGCTGCTGCCCGGTGGTGTGCAAGCTTAGTGTGGTGGCAGCGAGCATGGCCTCTTTCGGCTTCAGGGAGAACGCTAATGTGCAAACCGATGGCACACTGATGAGAAAGTAGCTTGTGTCCCAAAAGCTGCTTATTTCTCTATTTTCAGGCACAGGTGCTGTTCTGGCCCTACTTTAGTCCATGATGTCGCTGATCCTACTATCTATGTATGTACTTTGACATATCGTCTTGCAGGCGGCGTGCCTAGCCCAACGTTTGATTGCTGGTGACCAAGACCGCATCATGCAGAACAGGTAAGCAGCGCAGTAGAAAATCAAGTGAACAAAAAGGTTGGAAAAGGAAAACGACCAGAAAGAAAAAGAGGACCATAACTGGGTATTTCCTGTTGGCCCACCAAAGTAGCAAAAAGAGAGATAGCGAGAGAGAGAGCCAGTAGCCAAGTAGATACCTACTCCGCGTCACCGGTACACTGTGTGCCTATCCCATCCACCTGGGCGGATTAGGGACCTGGTTGGGGGAGACATAGGGGAAACAGGTACCTTCACGCTGCCGCAGCAGAGGAGGAAAAATTACGGCAGTGAGGGTTAGACACCTTAATGAAAGGTATCCACTGGGGGCAGCTGGTGAGGTAAGACACCCGGCAGAGGGTTCCTCGGCGATGATACGTACCGCTTCTCACTTCACCTTAGCTCACCGGAACACCACAAACCCATCCCCGTCCCCATCTTGCTAGCAGCTCGCCCTTTTTGCTTGTGTGTGGTGTCCCTACCTGTTGCTCTATGCACTGACAGTCGTCGCCTCTGCCAGGGTTCTCCCTGATGACAATTGTGAACAGGGGGACACTGACCTTCAGGGATGTGCACACTACTACAGTAGCTCATTCACTTGCCCATCCGTCCATAGATGGCTTCCTCCATGTCGCCATGTTACGTCCGTCTGGCCCCAATCCCTCCCTCCCTCTATTCGCCATGCTTTCCAGTTCCCACGTCCGGAAGCTTCCTTCAAACATGGTCTGGACATCCTTGTTCTATTCTGTCATTCTGCCGAAAGAGCCCTCACTCCCTCGGTACGACCCAAGTTCAAAACACCTTTGTCGCATCAGGACTGGTTGATGAGGCCTCGGTCAACCTGACCATTCGGATTGTGGGTTTCGCTCTTTGGTTCCAGCTCGTGTCAGTCAGCCTGGACTTATTGACCACAAGGCGGGGGCAGAAAATCCGTAAATGCTGTGCTGTGGTTGAGTAAGATTACCCGGAAGACGCCTCCGTGTAAACTGCTGCGAAGCCAGGAAAGAGAAAGAGAGAGAGAAGGGGAGGGGGACAACAATTGATCCTCTTTTTCGCAGTTCTTGTCACTGGTGTATTTTTTTACTTGGCTTTTCGGTTCGGGAGCCAAGCAAGACTCACAACACCCTCTTTCCGTCCCTTCTTGCCTTTTTTACTTCTTCCGTCCAAGGCAGACCCTTTCCCGTCTTCTCAGTCATGATGGGAATTGCTTGTTCGGTCTGGTGCTTCGGGCGGGCTGCCCGCGGTCTGTGCTGCGAATCAGACCAAAGGAGTAATAATGAACGGCCTATCCATGGACTGGCCATTTCATGCTCTCTCATACTGGCTGATGATTCCTTGGGAGGAGTCTGTGTCGCGTTCTGTACGATGCCTTCACCGGACCTCGCCTGGCCGCGACCAACTTGACAGCGAGCCCTGTGGAACTGTCCAATTTGTCCCCATCCACCCAGCCCAAGATTGTGCCGGACAAGCACGACCACCAAACCTGGTACATTCATTTTATCCCTTAAATCCTCACCCTCCCTCCTCTAGTGGACGACGACTGGGAGGGCCAGAATGGAGCCACCTTCTCCCTGCCATGGCCCTCACCTCGGAGAGGGAATGATGAGAGCGATCCGTTGCTCATCATTCACGCCTCCTTTCTCTCACCTCCCGTCGGTGAGTACACTGCCCATGCATGGTAACCAGGTAGTATGGTAGTTAGCTTATCCTGGCCCGGTTCTTTTTCCTTCTTCCACCCTCTACTCCCCGTTCTATTGCGCATCCACGCCGACCGTCAAGGGACCACTTGGTAAAAAGAAAAACTCTCCCGAAGAGTCCAATCCATCCCGGATCCCTTCCGGTGGCCGACCCATGACGGGTTCCTAGCTACAAACAAATGTTTGCACTTGCTTATCCTCACCCACAGGGCTTGGGGACCGAACACGAGGGCAGCCGAACTGCTCGCCTGCTGTTGTCTGCGCCATCAAGTCGCCTTATGACTCGGATAGCAAACCAGTCAATTCCACAAACTTCGGTCAGCGACCACTCCATGGCATGAGCAAAAGCTGCACTTTGGCTGTTGCTGGACCAATCTATGACCAACCCACCATGCCACATATTGACATAAGGGTACTGTATCTGATAATCCATTCCCGTGCTGGGCGGTGCTTGCCGACACCACGTTGTGTTTGGCCCACGTTTTGCTCCCTTCCATGCTGCTGTCTTCACCAGGAGCACCCCGCCACCGGCACACTTTCCTTCAGCCCCCCCATCCTTCATCCAAAGTCCAAACTGGATTGCGTCCCAGGTTGGTGGTTCCGTCCGACGCGTACAAAGTGGCCCCTTAGACCTAGACCTAGCGAAACTAGAAAGGATTCGTGGCCTAGCTAAGCAGCAGAAGGTAAATGGAGAGACAGTCGTGATAGTGGTTGCGATACTTGTGAGTCGATGCCTAGTTGACAGGATTCGGAAAAGTTAAACGTTGTGTCGTATGTCGCGAAACACGAACTCAATATCTCAAGAAGATTGGCAGCAACCAACCGGCTCGGAAGCTGTGTCTAAGCTTTCCGGAGGCTTGCGTAAGAACGGAGTGGACGAGTGATTCTCGACCACAGTACACGGCAATGAGATATTCGCCAATGTTTCTTGGATGACATGCAGCTGTGTACCAGCATAACAACGGATAGTAACTGGCATGCGGTCTTTGGTCCGCTGGCTAAGACATTTGTCGCTCTACTTTTTGACGAGTCGCTTCTTCGATGGCGTATGAGTCTTCGGGCGTTAACCGTTTGATGTGCGTTCTTTTTTCAGTTGACTGTCGGTTGGGGGATTCCTTTTTTCCCTCCTCTTTCCGTCTGAACTACACGCTTGGCTTTTGTCTTCATTTTGGTTTACTTCTCTTCCTCAAAACTCAATAGCTGGGCATCCATTCACGATTGCTTGTCGCTATTTTCAAAACTGTGATTCTCAGGGTCATAGGATCCGAGATGGGATGAGCAAGGGTAATGCGATGATGATCATGACGACAGGGCATGGTTGCCTTCCGGTTTCTTGTGTCCATCTTGAGGATGAAATCCTGAACAGCGAATACGCTGATTAACGAACTCCGTTTGTTACCATGGGGGGATAAGCAAACAAGCGACATTCGGCCAGTTACCTTCCGTGTCTGGCCAGCCTAAGGTAGCCTTTCCCACCGTGAGGACCCTCAGAC